TCTGACCATAAAGAATGAAGTGAAAGAGAGAAAAACAGAAAACAGATAAGGGAAGTGAAATCACATTTCTTTGTTTCTCTGGTGGAAGTTGTGTATTTTGGCAGCTGCCAAATCAGCTGACTGCTGCCTCAGTGCTGAATGACTTAGTGACAGGTGGCCACATGAGCATAGAGAAGAGAAACAAGATGGTTAATAATGAACACACATGCTTTGCAGCACTGGAGCTTTAATCATGCTTGATGATTTGGCAGTATTGGGGTTTTTGTTGACAGATGCGATTCCAATATTTTTGTGCCAGAATCTTCTTACTTACAATTATGTAACACTCATTGCCTTAAAAGTTTGAGAGTCTAAAGCACAGCGACCCAAAAGCACACAAAGTAAAACTAAAGTCATGTAAAAATTCTGTTGCACTCTCCGACGGGTCCAGAGTGCCTATTATCTCACTACATCCCTCTCAGCAGCCAAACATCTGCTCCTGACTGAGTCATATCAGTTCAGTGAGCTCTCAGAAGACTGACACAGACTCACTGGGCCCACACTGAAATGATAGGAACCAAAGAACATAAGGTTTGCTTCTCTCTCGCACGGCAGACAGAGATCTCTTCCTCACGAGATGTTCCAGACAGACACGAGACAAATGCAGAGAGAAAGCAGGCATGTAATTTCCAAGGAGACTCTTGGCAGTCTGAGGGAGGAGGCTGCATCCTGACGGACATGTGGGGGAAGCTTAAAATCCCATTAGAGCCAATCAAAATTCAAAGAGAAGCATGCATAGCCTGCCCTCAGTCTAAAAATCTATTCCTGTCAGCACTGAGTAGATAGCCAGAGATGGGCTAAATCGAGACAGTCTATTTTGGAAGGAGGAGAGTGAGGGGATGGAAAGAAAACAGCGGTGGAGGGAGGGAGGGTTGGAAATGAGGAAGTAAGAGAGAGAGAGAGAGGGATGGCAAAACATAGACGGAGGTGAGGGGGAGAGAATAGCCTTCAACTTGTTTCCTTTTGTAGCAAGACAGTGGCCTCCTGTAAACAGTGCATGTTTGCTTCCCAAGGAAACTCCAGTGTATAGACACTTCCTTTTCTGAGGCAGTGAGCCGTGGATGACTACACCAAATCTCTCCATGTGGATGCAGCAACACCAGCCTCTGTCATTCAGCTTCGTTAATCGATTGAGGAGGCTGTTAAAATGCAAGGTCTCGCTATTATGAAGTACTGGAGCTCTTTCTCCCTCTCTCTCTCTCACACACACACACACACACACACACACACACACACACACACACACACACACACACACACACACACACACACACTCATACATGTGTGAATGCACTTGCACACCACTGGGGTGGTTTCTATGCCACTGGTCAAACTGAATGGAACAAATTCTTATAAACCAACACAGTAGGACCAGTCAGCCATAATGGGAGAAGGTTTAACAAAAAACTACTCTGAAAAGATCCACAGGATACAAAATTGTGTCTTTTCACGTTGTCACTGTGGGAATGGCAGGTGTGTGTGTTTGTCAAACGGCTGAAGACTTGACTCAACCAGCACAGCTCCTCTGCTCTGTCAAACCCAGATTTACTGTTTGCTCAGAGATGATCAGGCTGTGTTGTCTGCTCGCCCTCTCTTCTCTCCCCCTGTTTTCTCACATCGACTGAGACTAAAGAGATTAGCCAAGGGAGATGAAACGACCACGGCTCTGCCAGCCACCACGCAACCCCTCTCAATTCCAGGACTTCCTCCCACTGCAGTCTCTCTCACTGCCATCAGTTCCTTCCTCGCTCTCTTTAATCACTCCCAACTCCACAGAGTCGCTGCACAGTCCCTCGGCTAAAGGCTTGCGCTTTTAAATTAAAGACAAAGCCTTTGCCTTTGTGAGAGGAGATGAGGGGAAAGGAAGGCCAGTCAATATTCATCTACACAAAGCTAATTACATTTGACTTGGCAACCGGTCCTAAACACGCGCGCCTGCCCTCTAAAATGCTCATGTGTTTGCATTCACACAGCGTGGCACAGTGCGAGACGGTTCACCCAAAGAAGAAGTGGTTGGCACAGAAATACAGTCTTTACCTTCCCATGTGTTGAAAACCAGAGGCAGTAGGTGCATTGGCAAGTCCACGTCATTTTAAAAAGGAAGACCATGTAGCTTTTGGAGGGAAGAAAAAACTTCCTCTAATTGTGTCGGTTCAACACACTGCGTGGCTCTGCAGCTACAGTCTTGGTCTGACATGAATAGGAGCTTAATGTTAGCTGCTGTTAGGTAGCAGCTTGTAGACAGATATTGTGACAGTTCACTGACTTTATGACTTTTGCTACTCTTACACCATATTTTAGAGTGGAATAGATGAATATTTTAATGGTCTTTGGTCACAAATAAAGTGAGGTCTATACAGACTGAGCCTGACTAGAAGACATGTTTGCTTTTTCCTGCTCGTGGTTCCATTAAACTCATCATAAAATGAAATGTTTTTTTTAACGTTAAAGTAGTAGTTAAATATGCTTTTCCCTTCCTTTCCCAGTGTTAAATGAAAAGATCAATACCACTCTCATTAAATGACTCTCAGGACCAGGAGATGGTTCAATTAGCTTAGTATAAAGCATAGAGACTAGAAGCAGGGTTTAAACAGTGAGCCTGACTCTGTCCAAAAAATAAAGGTCCACCTTCCATCACGTCTTAAGTGAATTTTGGACTCATGCCATTCATTTGACCCATTGCACTGTTCATTCACCCCAAACAGCTAATGTACAAACGTTAGCTGTAAGCCTGCTAGCATTGGACATGTCAACTGTGTTTGTGGGTGCGTGCATGTGTTTGTGTGCTCGACAAGAGCTTCGGCCATTGTTGCATTACAAGACAAGAGGTTATAATAAGCCCTCAGAGCAGCGCTATGTCTTCAAGGCAGATTGGAGGCTACAATGAGTTGCTATCGGAAAGTGACAAGACAGCTGGGGCTAGCTGGTTAGCGTGCTATGGCTATGTAGCAGTAGCAAAACTTACAAATAGCTCCTTTAAACTCCACCACCAGGATGCCATACTGATGCGGGTAACTCAAAACCACCTTAGAGAATGAATGGACATTCATTTTTCCATTATCTCACAATTGCTACTTGTGTCCACAGGGGTCACTGCTGAGCAAAAGTTAGACACTCTTGCTTTTAAGCTTAAACTGCAAAGATGGCATGACACAGTAAAAAGTAAGCCAGAGTCATCCCCCGGTCAGTGTAATACCACAAGGCTATCAATAGTAACATCTCTCCAGTCACTGTCAGCACAGATTACATTAAACACACATGACAAATTAATAAATCAGAGGATTTTTTTTTTTAGATCGGAGTTTCCTTGCAGCCAGCCTCCTGTTTACATTTGTCATTGGGGATTCTATTAAGCAGCATCCTGCTTCCTTCATTAGCCATTCAAAAGCAAAGATATTCTATACAATAGGCTAAGAGTTACAACTTACTCATTCATTAATGATTCAATGCTTTCTTTGGACCTCAAGGGAACTTAACATACAGAGATACACAAACACAACACATACGCATCCACATGAGAGCACACGCTCATAAATAACATAAATAAATACTAATCAGCACTGTGTTTATTTTTAAATAGGAATATCATCTAAATAGATGCAAAGATAAATAGATAAAAACAACTAGGTCAACTAGATTTGTTTTTTCCAGAGCTAATCTTTTTTTCTTGAAGCAATAAACAGCATCTTCCCTGCCTGCCTATACCTGCTCCTGTTTTATGCCCTGCCTCCGCCTGCAGTGTATTACCCTAATGATCATGTTTACTTTACAACTTTATCGATTTGTCATTTTGGGAATCACTCCCGGCACACTCAGCCCGTTCACACAGATACACTCATACACAGTCTGGCTCTGCTCTATAGACCTACTTTTGTGGATGGGTTTAGTTAGCCTAAAATATCTCCAACACTGGGGTTCCTCTGATTTTTAACACACACAGTCTCACACTTAAAGCAACACAGCAGTCACCTACAAACCCACTCTGTAACACTACAGAAGCCAAAACAAAGTAAGAGAGCAAGACAGAAAGCCTGGGAGGATGAGGATTCCCCAAAATGGTGAAAAAGTTTGAATGTTGTGCCCCGAAAGTCCTGCATTTTTCAGAGGATAAATGCACATTATGGCTTTTTAGTGTCTCTAAAAATGAAATCACACATTTCTTCTCTGCATATTCACTCAGCCAGGGATAAGAGCCTTGTCATGTCTGAACCAAGCTAGTCTAGTGAGTCACACTTGGATTACAGAACCACCCTGGCTGTCTGATACAGCTCTGTGTTAGCTTCTGGAGAAAAACGCTGGCCTGCTGGGACAATGAGAGGGAAAAATGATTACATGATCACCATAGAAACACTACTGATATGGCTTTATGGAAAAAAAAAAAAAAAAAAAAACACACACACCGAGTACAACTATGATATGAATAACAATGAGTAAGTGAAAGTGAGAAAACTAAATTAAGCTAATAAACTATCAGGTAAATAGAGCACAGCAATAATCAGCCACAGACTGAATTTCATGAAAGGCAGCAGTAGCTCGTACACACACTGTGCCCTTCAACTCTCACCATCATATTAAGAAAGGTCAGTGTACTATTCAGCAAAGAAAGCCACACAATCCACCTCTCTCTTATTGCTTTTTTTTTTTATTTTTTCTTTCTACAAAATTAGTCCCTGCTTCACTTGCTCACGTCAGAAGTCGTGATCTGTTGTCCAGCCAGTACATGCGTCACTACATGCTGAAAACAAATTTCCTCTGACAGCAGCACACTCTTTGTATTATTGTGTATGATTACTGTGTTATTGTAAAGATAGTTTCTGTCTTCTGTCACGGAAAAATCACCGCTGGACTGAAGATGAGTGTGTGTGTGTGTGTGTGTGTGTGTGTGTGTGTGTGTGTGTGTGTGTGTGTGTGTGTGTGTGTGTCTGGTTTTAAACACACTTGACATTGTGTTTTCATCTTACCCTGATTCTCCTCATGGCTGCCACGATCTCCATCCGACTGTTGGGCCTGGGCACGTCAAGACTCCCCACGTACTGTGGTGAACAATCAAGAACATCACATTGTTGATTGTCCAACACACACCAGCTGCATAATTAATCTTCCATAATCACATATGTCACACTCAGTGGTGTCATGAATTAAATCAATCACTCCTGCGTAAATTCCTCAGCTACTCTCACATAGCACTGTGACAGATCTCTCTTTCAAATTGCATTCAGTGAAGTGCCACTGCATAAACAGCGGCTACCAGGGACAACCAGGAGTCCTTGAATGAGGCTGCAGCAAGATACAAGATATAAAGATACAAGCAGCCTTGTGACTGAACTTTGGACCAGTAACACTCCCTTTCTATGTCTGTGCTTTCTGTTTCTTGACCAACCTCTAACATGAATTAATAGCTAAACATGAATTAATAAAGTTACATACTGATGTGTGTGAATCAGAGCTGAAACTGTTAGTCCAGTGACCGAAAGTTGATCAGCAAAATATTCTGATGGTCAGTTACTTGTTTGAGTAAAACTACCGACATTTATTGGTTCCTACAGACATTACAGTTGGCCTATGTCCCTTTCTGATATGGAAACATGTCAGTTTGTAATTGTGTTAATAATGAGATAATGAGAAAAAATAATGAAAGCAGTAGTTGCAGCCTTTGAATAAGGTCACTAAAAACTTAATATGGTCTAGCTGCTTCCCTAAGAGGTTAATAATTCAATATCTGAGGGAAACCTGAAAATACACTCATCTCGGTTCAATTTTGAGCATCAAAACTAAGGACAGTCAGTTTTTAGTGATTATGCCAGAAATAAAATGCAAATGTTGTGTTTGTATATGTTGCAGTTAAACATTGTGTAAATAAACTACAATTCTTTTATACACTTGCGGTGTTAAACCATGTATATGCGTGTGTGTGTGTGTGTGTGTGAGTGTGTTTAAGGACACTGCCATGTGTTCAAACTTCATGATGGATCCCAGCTGAAAGGGAACAGTGCACCTGCCATTCCGCCGCACAACAACACAATACAATCCAACGATGAATGGACTGTTTGGTTAAACAGTATCAAAATAAGAGGGGAAACTATTTTCTCACCTTGGCTTGGAAATAAATCCCATGTTGATAAGCCTCCTCATTGTGCAGCGGCACCCTCGAGTCCGCCACATCGTCCACCAGGTTGTACCTGTTCCTCGCCGGCATCACGGACTCCAACTAAAACTCCCGACACAGTAAAACACTGTTCAACAAGTAAACAGGTAAATGTCGACCGGGGTAGAAACGCTACAATCCCATGTGTGTGCACCGCGCGGCTCCAGGAGTGAGTTCCCTCTGGAAACGCAGTCCATTGTTGTTGCTTTGAGCTTCAAAGGTCCCGTCCTCAAGAGGGACAGATTTGGGCGCCCCCTCTTCCTCTCCCCGTGACAATAAATGTTCTCAGATATGTTCTCAGACAGGCGTCTCGTAAAGACGCAGCAACGTGGAGGGATGCCTGTTCCCAAAGCCACAGGGGAAATCCAGCGTAAAGAAGCGGCGTTTATCTGCAGGTGATGTTCCCTCCTTGCTCCTCGCTGTGGGTTTTTTTTTTTTTTTTTTTAATCCAGTCCTGTTGATGGCAACGCTGCACCCGTCTCTCTCTCTCTCTCTCCCTCTCTCTCTCTCCCTCCACAAAGCACAAAGCAAGTCTCTCATTGGAGCAAAAGTTCCCAGGCATGATGCAACCCGGAGCTGGGAGGAAAGCCAACAGACAAGTTAGTCCTCCCCCCCCGGAGATGAAAACCTGACACACTTATTCCAGGGAATTGAAGTTGGATTATCAAAGAGGGAGAAATGCTACAGAAAATAAAGCAGTAAATAAAATAGAAAGTACTCACTTAGTTTACTTAAGTGCCTGTACATTGCTCAAAAAAGGCCTATATATAAACTGACTCCACCATGGCCAGCTACAACACAAAAGTAGGCTATTACTTATACAGTATGTTGAAGCAATAATAAAGATCTAGTGGATCTATTGAGATATTATATTAACAATATAACATTCTGCCAAATGAGTACTTTTGACACATTTTCTTTGTTGCACTCACATAAGTCATTTTTTAAAGGCAGGACTTTTACTTGTAATTGAGTGTTTTTTCCTCTGTAGTGTTACTGCTTTTATTTAGGTACTGTAACTGAGTGTAATCAGAGTACTTCTTGTGCCATTGTCTGTCTTCAGAAATGTCTAAATAGATGAATGTATGGTCATGTCACGTGCCATTACCTGAATAAAACAACCTTTTTTTTCTTTTTCACATGTAGTCTTTGTTATTTTTTATCAGTCTGTGCAGTGATTCTGCTGTTGGCCTTGAGCTTTGAGCTATCTTTCTCACAGTGTTAAACATCTTTCAAGGTGTATTTTGCTCTTTGAAACTGCACTGCAGAGTCAGGTTGCTGATCAAATGGCTAAGATTCATCACACCTCGTCCTTGGAGTTTTACCACACAATATAATGAGTCTCTTAGTAGATAACAAGAGTGCAGTCACTACACAGGCATTTTTACCTGCATGAGAAATGGATTTGATTACTGCAAAATGGCACCTCTGTTCAGACAATAAATGGCTGTTTGTTGGTGATAAAGTGGAAATGATTTTGACTCCCATGATGCTCAGCGTCCTGCAGGGTTGTTGACATATTATTGCTGCCACTGTAGCTGATGGTACTAACATTAAACTAGCATATGCAGGCCAATAATAAGTGGAGCATCACAGGTTTATTTCCCATAAAGAGTGTTCTCCCTTTGTCCTACTAGGAGTCATAATAATACATTATATAATCAATTAAAAGAAAGGTTAAACACTCAATTAAAACTAAGACCTATTATTGAGATAATGCCATGGCGCCCTCTGTTGGTTGCTTATGAATTACTGCAATTAAAAAGCCATTTTTACCTTGTTTCCAGATGTGCTGTAGTATACATAAAAAAAGTCTTTGTCTGAACTTGAATCTCTTGCACTTTAGAGGCAGCAGATATATATATCAGACTAATCCCTGAAAAATCAAATGAATTAAGATCTATTAATGTGGAAAAAGGAAAGTCAAGTGCCACAACTAAATCCCACTAATCTACACTCAAAGGTCAAGATATTAAGATTAAAAAATAGTACGCTTTACCGGGGAATAATGGTGACATAATACAGGTTTAATTAAACTGTGAGAGGTAGTCATCATTAATTGGTTTAACACTGATCTGATTTGCATGCAATGTAACAAACTACAGCCATCATCATAAAAGAGAGGAGGCATTTATTTGTTATGTTCATGTGTAAAAGAATGTGCAGGAGAAACCTCAGCAGAACTCAAACAAAGAGCAGAATGTGAGAACAATGTGTTAATGAGATATCTATCCAGTTACAGCACATTTCATGGAGAAGAATCACACTGCCTCTTCTCTCAGTTACAGGCTCTTTAAGTAAGAGGTATTCTGGATTTCTAAATAGGGAGTTTAAAGCCTGAGAGGGTTCAGTGAAGAACCTAAAGATGTTTTTGTAGTCCACTGGATAATATTTCTGCTCAAAGAACAGGATGTCTTTTAGGATTAATAGGATATTTTTAAAGAAACTGTTTTGGGATTTGTGGGATATACTGTATGCTTATTTGTTTTGTGATGGAGAGTTAGATGAGCTGATTAACATGGCATGTCTTGTAGCTTTTATCAATACAAAAACTAAAAAGGTAAAAAGAATAATTTGCTGTTTCATGGGCGGTTATATGCTGGACTATTTCTTGGCTCTGAGCAGCTGCCAGGTTGCCAAGTCCCAGAATACAAATAAGCTTTTTCCCTAAAATGTCGAACTGTTCCTTTAAGGTCAACCACACTGACTTTGAATTTAGCTTGGGGTAGGAATAAACATTAAGATAAAAGGTGAGATTTGATTTTGTGCACTGATGGTTTCAGAAGATGAAAGATTGTATTTGGTAAAGAACCTTTTGACTTCTTTGTAAATTTTCATTTTCATAATGTTTTGAAGGTTAAGTATCTGTGGTGATCTATAAGTCACATGAACGATCAATGGATACCAGAAACCACCTCAGAAGGCAAGATAGCCAAGAACATCTGGAAATAACGTTGAATACAGTATTGTCCAAACGAAAGCTTGGTATTCAGTTTTCTGCATTTCACACCACTGATACATGAGGAGGATTTACTCCCGACTGCAGCTTCGATTTATGATGCCAGACATGACTAATGATAGGAGACTGGTTGTCATTTATCTATTAGCAATGCCGAGCAAGAGATTTCTATCTTTTCGTATCAGTGTTATGTCACATTTATCTCTACTGCGGTGAAATTAGATAGTTCACAGCTGCTATGAAGAAAAACCACAGAAAGGCAGCAGCCCGTGATGAGTCAAAGAAAACATCTGGAGACATTTTCAAGAACACCTGTAGTCCAGTAGACATGGTGAGTAATAATAATCAGACAGGATTACAATACATACTGTAACATGATTCAGATATTTATATCAAAAAAACATTACATCAAGTAATATCTGTGAATGATGGCTGACTGTTTAAAACCATAAAAGATATATTATTATTTCCTTAGTGAGTTAGTTGAGGGTTCTTTTTATGCCACAGTGTATCTTGGGGGAAAATGTCACATCAGATTGATTTATACTTCTTTTCATCACTAAAAGCATGAACTGTGCTTCAGATCTAAATCCTCTAAACAATCAAACAAAAAACAAAAGGATGCAAATACAGTATATAAACAAAATCCGAGGCCTGTACGCCTGTGATGAGATTATTTTATGAAGAATTCTTCATCCCTCATGACCTGAAATCCTCTTTCAGATGTTGCTCTTTGATCATCAATAAAATGAAAGAATATTCTTGACACCAAGAAGTAAAAACCTTTAAGAAGATTGTGAAGGTACCCATATTTGTGAAATGATTCACTCAACTCAAAAGAATTTGGCATTTCTGTATGCTGTGTAGGTGATTTGTTCCAGATAATGTGTGGTATGTTTTTTCTCTGAGTGATTATTGACTCACAGTGAAGATCTTCTGTGAATAAACGAACACATCACGCAGCCCTCTTTAATTCCATGTCTTTTTTTGTGGATGTCTCAGACCATAATGCACAGCTCCATGGCAGCTTTACATGCTGGGGGGGGGGGGATGTAGAAAGCAAAATTAATGAAATGTTTTATTTGAATCCTCAAGGAAATTTTGGTGCAACAGAAATCCAGCTCAGGTAATCACAGGTCTGGTTTCAAGTGGCATTCATGTCACAAGCGCTGTTTCATGTAGAGAGGGAAGACACTATTTATAAAGGAGCTCCTCTGAAGCAGCTTCATCACAATTACAAACACTGCGGGTCACAGTGGGTTGAATGGCAACAAGCTGCATTTATAAACTATAAAAAGAGGTCATCACTTTGATGTGCGAGTTTTCAAAGCAAGACAAGACAGTGAAGAAGTCACAGGTGCATTGGTTTTAAAAGCCACATCATTAAAATGAGCTTTGCTTGTTTGTGCAGAATTTGACTCTAGAAGGATGTTATCATTCATCTCCTTTCTCTGTGCTCACCTTAAACCTATGATTGATGTGTTACATCGTACTGGAAGCAAAGTGTTGTCCTGTATAAACCTCACATGCACTGAGAATAGACTACTCAGTGAAGCAGGAGACATCTTTGTCCAGTAGCAGCAACATCGTTTGCATATTTCTATATTCAAAACATAGGAAGCCAACACCATGGTCGTAGTAGCAAGTTTGTTTAATTCACTAATTCATAACAGGATCAGGATTCACATCACGACACACGTTGTACACATATCCCTTACAGCAGAGGACACACGCAACACCTGCAGATGTAGAAGCAGTCGATTCATGTGATCTGGACGCATGTCACTGGATTAAATAAAACATGGCTGGGTGGATGGATGGATAGCTTTGGACGAGTAAAGCAGTGTAGTGTCAGACTGTAGCATATCGCTGGTGTGTGTGTAGTGTTTGTGTAGTGAGCACTGCTTGTGAACGTTGTGAACCTTCCCACTGGCTCTGGTGTAGTAATTTCATAGAGTCATGCTGATGCTAGTTACTGTATATCTATGATCTTTGCATACACTACTTTATTAACTGTATCTGAACGCTGTGCAATGATTAAGTGTGATACCTGAGAGCTGGTGGCAATGTGTGAATAATCCACCCAGTCACTGGCCAACCAGTAACAGATGTAAGATAGAAACAGCTGTAAGGGGTACGTGTAAACAGTTATTCCCAAAGCATCCTCATTACCAATGACACAACGGAGGCAAGGCAAGGCAACAAAACAACACAAACACAAACCGTATATTGCTGACCCACTGCATACCTCATTTGAGTGACAAAGGCAAGCCGTGGCTCTGACGATTGTGTGGGATACAGACCAATTAGTCCCTGAATCAAGACACTTCCCCTCATTAAAATTTAATGGGTTTTGGTAGAATAATGTACTAATTAAGACTCATAATAAACACAGAAAATATTCAGTAACTGATATTTTAAAAAAGGAGAGCAAATAAAATACACACACATTCCAATTTTTCAGTACATAACGTACCACAACATCTGCAGCCACAACTTGGCCGCCGGCTGCTTGAACATGAGGAACCGTACGTAAACAAGCGGACCCATGCACCGAAAGCTTTGAATGAAATTCCCCCTTTATCCATGCTACAAAAAGTTTAGTGCTGGAGCTTTAACTGAGTTTAAAACAAATGAAAAAAAGAACATATCAAAGCATAAAACAAAACTAAAACTCATCTTTCTTTCTCTTTGCGTCTACCAACTACATTCCCCGTGGTTAAAAACATCCCTAATGCCTCTGTATGTTTATAAATGCATTCAGGCTGCAGTTCAGAGTTGCATGTACACAGTGAGTGTAATACCCTCACACCAAAATCACACATTCTTACTTCAGACTTGTCATTTGTATGATGCACCTCAGGCACATAGGGTGGAGATTTCACAAAGGTCTTTCGGGAAGCTCGACACGTCTTATTAGATGAAAGTAACCTCTAAGCTCTGAGAGTGGGTGTGACTGAGACTCACAATAATTAAACTCAGAGGAAATTCTTCAATCAGCCAATGCTCTATGATTGTGTGATATACACAGCCTTGTCTACTAAAACCCATTATCTATCAAAGGTCATAAAAATCTAATTGTTGCTCTTCATCAACATTGTACACATGAAATCGCCCTACTGGTGTATTTCCAGGGAAAAACTATTGTCACAAATATATACCAATCAACACAAACTGTGTGTGGCTGTCAGGGAAACAAACACTTAAGGTAGCACTTTAGGTCAGTTATTTACAAATCAGTTTTGTAATAGTCAGTCTGACTGATTAAAAAGTTTCCCAACACAAATGGTAATCAAGTCCTCTTCACATTATTAAGAATAACAACAAATACACAGGGATATTGTTCCAGTGGCTGCTTTATCTGCAGTAACTTAGGTTTGAAAAGACCCCAATCATAAATGGAAATAGAACTTTTCTTGTAGTAGTCTTCACTGTTACCTCAATTGACTTTTAAATCCAAAATGGAAAGATTTTCTCTTCTATTCAGGGTCCCAGGGAACAATGAACCTTTGGAGGAAATTAGGGTCTAACCCTGCGTTTAAACCAGAAGTACCTGGGACTAAATGAAGTTTCCAAACTTATCAATATTTGGGATGTGCTGCCAAAAACGACACACAGCATAAGTCTGAACCCTGTGGATTATTTGACTTATCTTAACCCGCTGTACTCTCTAAGTCAGACAACTCTGAATCACAGCCTCACAGTAATAGAAATAACCTGAAGTCAATTATGTACATTTTACAATCACATTAATTTCTGTTCAGATTTCCTGAAAGGCTCTTGGGCTACAAAGATGTACCTCACATTTTTCCGTCAAAAAGGGTTTACAACCAACAGTAGCAAGAACGAAGGGAAACAAATAATAAATACAACCCATAAGAAGATTAAAAAAAACTTTAAATCAAAGGTATCAAGTCAAGGAGAGGCCGCATTTACACACCAGGTATCAAATAATGGACTGAACCCAACATCAATCTGTTTGGATACTATTAGGTCAGGACAATGGGAATTCAGCAATTGAAGTAAATAAATAAACTCAATACCATTGTTATGTAGTGACAGAAAGGATAGTGAAGGAAGGAGGATGGAGGAAGAGGTAGGATGGATGGAGCTGAAGAAAAGAGAGGAGGAGGGGGAGGAGGAGGAGGAGGGTGGGAAGGCAGATGCCTCACTCTGGAGCGCCGTTTGTCGTTCCTGCCATTCTCTCTTCATCGCCCTGTTTCTGGTGCTGCAGTCTGGCATAAGTCACTGCGTCTCCCCTGAGACAGAGAGAGAGAGAGGAAAGGAAGACAGGAATGCGAAAGAAGGATGGTAATAAAAAAGTAATGAGGAGGGAGAGGTGAGCAGAAACAAAGAAAAAGCAGGTGTAAACAGGAGAGGGTGACAATGTTAATTGCAAGGTTATTACAGGGCCGACCTTGTCAAAAGTTAATTTGCATGAATTAAGAGGCTCATTAGAGTTGTTAGAACTTCGAGAGAGGAAAGGAAGACAGGAATGCGAAAGAAGGATGGTAATAAAAAAGTAATGAGGAGGGAGAGGTGAGCAGAAACAAAGAAAAAGCAGGTGTAAACAGGAGAGGGTGACAATGTTAATTGCAAGGTTATTACAGGGCCGACCTTGTCAAAAGTTAATTTGCATGAATTAAGAGGCTCATTAGAGTTGTTAGAACTTCCACGCATTAAATAAAAATCTTATTAACTGATTATAATGTGGCACACTGCATTTAATATGAGAGCCTGTTAAATAAATCATTTTAGAAGAGTGTTTTATGAGTGAGACATCAAGAGATAAAAGTAATTACAAAATGAATCATTAAAAGTGCTCAAATAGATACTGAAAATAAATCATATAAAATAGCTGATGCTTTCTTTCTGTTGCTTTTTAAGTACTTTGATATAAGTCATTATATGTTACTAACTACAACCAGACATCTTACTTTTTGCCTAACGACGCAAGGCCATACAGAACTCCTGTAGCAAAGGCGATGGCATTCCCAAACAAGGTTGTAAAGGAGAAACTCAAGAACACAGGAAACAGAGCCATCCTGAAAATTAGCAACCGAGGAGACAGCCAAGAAGAGACAAAAACAAAAGTCAGAAAATCATATGAAGTCCATGCTGTAGATAAAACATCCACATTCCCAAAAGTTTGTCAGATAACTTATGCAATGTTTATAACTATCAGAAATTCACATTACACAAAAATTTAATTTTTCATTTAGTGCAGTACAGTCTCCAACGACATAAACATGTACAATGCATAGTTGTTCTCACCCACAGTAGAAGATGGCTTTCTGCCAGGGTTTGAGTTTGTCTGCGCGGGCTGCTACTGCATTAGCAAACTCTATGAACTGGCAACAGAACGGGACTTCGCATAAGAACAACACGAAGGCAGTCAACCTTGAAACAGGAGGAAAGGACAGACACACAGCAAAGAATCATCCTGTGCACTTCTTTCTCAAATACTGTGCAGCTGTGGCTCAAATGATGGAGGTCTGGAGGAATTTAACCACAGCAGACGGTTAGAGAAGAACCATTATGCTGTTATAGTCATTAGGCAAGGTAACAACTCGGGCTGTTGCGCTCATGGTCACATTTACTGTCAAAGAAACAGCAAGAAAGTTTCTACAGAGAGCTGAAACTAACAATTATTTCAATTATCAATTAATTCAATTATCAATTGTATTCTTGATTAACTGTTTAAGAGTGATAGTTCCAAAAGCCCAAAATGACATCTACAAATCTCTTGCTTTGTCTGATTAACTGTTTTAAACCAAAACATATTCATTTCACTTTCACATAAGACAAAGAAACAGTGTTTGTTCATGACATTCTCATCCCTGATGTTTAGCAAAATATTATTTCTGGGGTAACTGTAAAGGCCCTAAGACAATTTTCATTATTGATCGGCCTGGTGATTATTTTCTCAATTAACTGGATTGTGTAAAAAAACAATGTCACTAATAGGGGAAGAGGCTTGTTGTTCATGGCCATTCCCAAGGTGTCAAAAGTGAGTCTGGTGTGATCAGGTGTAATGAGGATAATTAGCAAAACTGGCAGGGAAGAAAAACAAACCATCTGTGTCTTTTTTTTTCTTTAATGGTATCTACCAAAATACATATTTTAAATCCAGACACAGGCACAACACGTTCACGCCAAAACGTTTTCTCTAACTCCATCATTTGAGCTGTACTCTAGGTGTGGCTACACGGCTACACGAGACTTGTGCTTACTATCGATGAAAGATAATACTGTACATACAAATAAAGGAATGTAAATGAACAAGTAACACAAGTGCATCATTATAAAAACTGGACATCTGCACAGTAAAAGCTCTGTTGGATCAATCATGTTTAAGATAGTTTGATATGTCTTTCAGTTTGTGTTTAATAAAACTTAACTAGAACCAGCATACAAATTGCACACAAATATTCATTAGATTAAATAATCATCAGGTTGCCTAAGACAACACTTTCATTGTGTAACCCTATTCTGACATCAACATGGACCTGAGCTTACATAAATGAACAAAGACTTGGTAAAATAGAGCAGCTTCTATTGTCTAAATAAAGTCGTTGTATAGTGTGTCTATTGTTTTTTCTCCTGTGTACTTGCAGTGTATTAAACATCCGGGCTAATGGAACGTGAATGAGCTAATCTATGCATGCTACATTAAAGAAAGTATAATAGTGTTAAAGACTTACACCATCCACACTCCAGCAGCAATGTTTAAAGGGTTCACAGTGACACAGTTCCACACTCCTGCAATGGCACAGGCTGCATGATTGGGACAAAACAAAAAACAAAGCATTAGGCCTGTTATACAGCAAATATTAGTACAGCAAACACTGCAGTATCCCTGTGGGATTAATAAAGTTAACTATTTATTTGTCTATTGGCATTTTATTTAAGAAATATCTAAGAGGGGAGAATAGATCTTAAAATTATGGATGAGGCTGCCAAGAGATCCAGTTCAATCACCATAACTACATCCTAAGATTTCCTGCATATGGTATATATTTGGTTAGTTAATGCCTGTACACTATAAACAACACAAGAAAATCAGCAATGCAGAACATCTGGAGCATGTACAGTATGTTAATGCAAAGAGATAACAAACAAACACAAACATAGAAATGTCTTTCAAGAGCAGCACATCACTGTCTTTACATGGCTTTATATAAAAGGCACTGTGAAAACACCTGAAAAACACAGAACAAAATGATGGAATCTGCACTCTCATCTAGATGTAAAAGCTATTATGAAACATGCTTGGCCTGAAAATTAATTACCCATATCAAATCTGAAACACTAATTACCACTGTGTCAAAATCAAAGCAGGCAACATTTTCCAAGTACGAGATAATGATAATCATGATAATTTGGGGTAATTCTTGGTATTTACAACATTTGCCATGACTATGACTTGTGTTGAAATTTTCATCACTAATTTCACTTAATATGCAGCGTCTGACAATCCATTGTCCAAAATATGTGTATACTGCAATATGAGATGAGCTGCAGCTATAATAAAAAGGCACAAGTTAATTGGTAAGAAAACCACTGGTGGTGTGTTCATGGGTTGTGTGAAATTCATGTAAATTCATGCAAAATCACACGTTGTAGAAGTGTGTTAGCTAAATTAATTAACACATCAGCAGTAAATCAACCAATGACGTCAGTCCTAGAGGTATAAAACTAAACAATCATCATTTGTATTCACAATAACATATAACAATCAACCACACAAAATGTGACATGTATCTACTGTTGCATGTTTGGCTAATTTTGAGTATAAGAACACAAATGAGGACATGTCGGCTTTTTTGGGATAACTGCTGAAAGTTACCCCTAGCTCTGAGTGTGTGTTTGCAAATAAATGCTTTGTTCTGGCAACACAAGCCTCAGGTAGAAAGTGACTGGAATAATCGCTTTCAAATGCAGAATCTTCAGTTAAACGATACAGTTTAATATGGTTTCTATTAATCTGCATTTTTTTCCCTGATTAACGCATTAATTGTTCAGTCAGTATACCATCATGAAATAATAAAAACATGCCCATAAATGTTCTCCAGACCAGTATCATCTTTAGTATTTGAGAGTCAATGCCATACTGTACTACACTGTCAGGCTGAAACTCAAGAGTGAGAATAGAGGGGAAATAAGCCTGATGTCAGGACAGACAAGCCCACAGTGTCACAAGCAGTGGAAGAACTACGTAGCATATCCTGCTCCTTTAGACCATCCAGCCTCCTTAATAATACAGATCCCATTGAATATGCAGTGCCCCAGCTGGTTAATGTGATACAGACGCTGTGACTCTGGTGTCACTGTGAAGGAGAGAAGGATAGAGGGAGGGCTGCAATGCTGCTGGAAAACTGCAAAGCCAGCAGTTAATCACTTCTGTCTCATGCTGAACTCCCGAGGAAAGGAGTCAAAACACCTGCTGTGGATGCAGTGTGTTCATATCATTAAGTTAATTTTGGAATAGCAAGTTGTTCTGGCATGACCAAGCCAGGCAAACAGGCGGTGCCCAGTAGTAGCTGCTGCAGTGATGGGGACAATAGGCTGTGACAAAGCTTTTGTCTAGCTTAGCTGAGCAAATGTAATGAGACATATACACAATCAAAAACATGTTTATTTTCAAAATAGAAATCTGATGCCCTTTCTGTCCTGTCTCTGCTCTGACCCTTATATTAATGCAGAGCTATGGAGTCCACACAAACACTATCAAGTATGCTGACAAGAAAATAGATTTACCTGCCTATCACAGAAAACAGCATAAAAACTGCATAAACTGGATCTCGGCACACTCAATGGTTCTATTCATTATACATGTATGGCATGTGTATCATTATTTCACTATATTTTCATTATCAAATGACAAAATAAATTACTTACATATTCCTCCCAAAACTCCAGCTATTTTGCAGAGCCATCGGTACCACCATGTCATGCCATCATCCTCCGGGGTGGCTTTAGTGGACGCTGCAGTCTCCTCGGAGCTCATTGTGCTTTTCTAGCTGTGTTAGCTAAAGCCACCCAAAGCCAGTATTTACAGATGTCAGCCTGAGACCACCCAACAATAGCTAAGTTAGCCTGTCTCGACAAACTAACTGCTAACTTGCTTATTACGACACAGGAGTCCCTTTCAGTAATACAAGAGGTAATTTCAACTTTTAAGTATATTTTAATCGTTTCCTTTATCTTTTCCTGTTGGGGCCAGCTGCCTGATGTTACCAGCCGCTTTTCAGACGGCTTCCCCCGTCAGTCAGCGCCAGCTAACAGGCTAGCTGATGCTAAATAGCACAGCCACCAGCTGCCGCTAGGAGCCGATATCACCGCTGCATTCGGCCTTAACTCTTTAGCAGTCTTGTAAATGAACAAAAACTATCTTCAAGACTATTTCTACTGATTTATAACCATACACTTTCCCCTCCTATTTGTTTGGGTCCACGTAGCCGCTCAGTTGTTCTCCTCCCTGGTTGCTCAGCAGATGTAAGCGGTGCATTGTGGGAGGGATTTCATCTGCGTCATGGTTTGTTTACATGTGTCGGCGCTGCAAATGTGTGGGGTTGCCATGAATATTTTTCTACACATTTGTGCTTATCGCTGTGTACAGATGAAAGCCTAGCAGCTGCATTTTTTCTGGTTTTAATATTTTCATATTAATGCAAATTATGATGTGACAGTGTAAGCCTCAGTGTAAACTATAACCCTACTTTATGCCCTTATGCATAGCATTACATCTGAGTCACACAGCTAAGCAACGACTTTTTAAAATATACATAACCGGCTAAGGTTGTCTGACAACACTTGCCACTGTCCTGAAAGTAGAAAGTGACAAATTACATTTGACCTGAATGTATCATTTGATATTATTAATTTAAGATTTAAAAATGTTAATATAAAAAGCTCTATACTTCTTCAGCTTTCAACGGTTGGTAAAAAAAAAACAAAAAGCTTTTGACTTATTCCCTTCACCACCAGTTTTGCTTTTATCTACTGTCCTAATGCAACACTTCTATATGAAGGTACTTCCAGAATCCTTCCAGACTCTTCTAACCATATAGTCCAAAAAATATTGTCTACTGCACAATTAAAAGGATTTTTAGCCTGTTTCTGAAGCTGCAACTGTGTGCATCTGTGACTCAAATGTGAAAGAGGCACAAACTGGTGGCTGCTAGTGGTCAGATGTTACATTGTGAATTGGATAAAGCAAATAGCAATGGTTGTTATCTTAGGATTGAATGGGTAAAAAGTATTAAAGATGGCAAAATAAACATAATTTCACTCACATCCCTACACATCAAAGCAAAACAAAGAATATTTTTTTCATTATTAAATATCCAATTCATCTTTAATCACACAACACATTCTTCCCAATCACTTATGTTATCCGTATGAGATTCTTACAAGGAAATGCAATACCAATTTACAAGGTTTTTTTCTTTTTAAGTGCCTTCTGCATAAACTTGAACTGTGACCTCTTTCGTCAAATGTTGGATAGGAAGCCCAATCTGCAGGGGGATGACTATGTCTGTGTTTAAGGAGAAGTAGATAATCGTGACAGTCATCTGTGTGTGTTTAAGTGACCAGCTCCAACACCTAAGGCAGGCTTCCTCATTCAGACAGCAGAGTGGACTGTAGGGGCCTCAGAGTCCTTCGGCTGATCCTCCTCTCCTCCAGTATTGGTGCTAGTTTCCTCTTCCCTCTGGGTGTGTGGCACAGCATGCCGTCAAGGGTCTGCTGAGTCAACTGACCGGCTTGTTCAAGCCGAGTCACTGTCCGCTCCACTTCCATCATGTGTGGTCCACACTCACTCCGCAAGCGCAGTAAATTCACCTGTGAAAGCGGTTACGAGAGACCAATGAGTTCGGTTTTTAGAATAATTTACATCAACATCAATCTCTGTAGCTTGTATTAACTATTTCAAGTGACATTTCCTGATCACAACAAACTGAGTAAAGGTCCCTTAGGCTTTACATCATTCTGTTCAAAGAATAAACTGCATAGACATTTTTCAAAACCCCTCTGCCAGGAAGCAAGCACAAATTATGCATTTAATTACTGCATCTGTAGCTATTCCCTAATTGTTTGATTTATCTTTTAAGTATAAGTAGCCTCTGTACCACTGAGCAAACAGTCAGGTGTTTGACTCACCACGTCCTGTGAAAACTCGGGCTTCTTCACAAAAAAAGGGCTTTTAGGCAACACGGCTGCAGACAGGGTGGAAATGGCCTCTCTCACTGCTCCTGACATCACTAGTATTACAATCTAAATCACAGTTAAAAACAAATTAATAAATGAACAATAACAGCAATAATGTATATGTAGTATAATATAGTTACATGATGCACCCTTACTTTTAAATTTTGGCATAATCTGCTGTCTGTGCTCATAATGTGTGAATACAATGACTGAGCTTTTTCAATGTCATTCTGGAAAAAGAAAAAAAAGAAAAAACAGATTATTGATGACAGTGAAATAAACTCGCCATAGCACATTTCTTCAAAATATAATCTCCCAAATAAATTTTAAATGAATGAAGGGAATAGAAAAAGATATAACTTACCTGCCTAAGTGCTAATGCTACAGCAAAGCAGTAAGCATGTCTGGGGATGAACTGCCCTTTGGTCTGTCCCTCCTCTATCAGGGCAATGCAGATCTTGTAGGAGTCTGTTGTGTTCTGACCAACATAAAACAGGACCTCAATTCACAACAAACACCTGATGCATCTGAAGACACGAACTCCCCTTTTATTAAAATTATAGATTAAATAATTTAAATGTTACCAGTTTATAGCAGGTACCAGCTGCCAGTGTGTGTGTGTCTTTGTTGAACGGTACACCTTGGTTCCTCATTGTTCTTAGTACCTCCAGAGCATCTGCAACAGCCAACATTTGGAATATTATAAAAATGTGACAATAATTTAAAAGAAAAAAATTAGAAAGTTAATCTGTCACTTACTTTCATAAGAGCCTTTTGTGAATAACATGTCTATGGCGATGTTAAAGGACGTTGCGTCATTGAAAAACCCTCTCATTCTCTGTTCAGACAAGTGAGAGAAAATGGCATATTCATATATATATATATATATATATTTAACACAACTTTGTCAATAGCCAGAGTAGTGGCTGACGTAAAAATTTACCACATCTGTAAGTGTAGCAGCAGCCATGTCCTCCAGACCCAGCTCATAGCACAGTCTCATGAAGAGAGGACCAAATTTAAACTCTCCATATGCCAAGTTTCGGTTCTCTGCGTGATACCTAGTGAGAGCAAATTATTAGATCATCTATACAGAATTAAGATACTTGATACATGAAGACATTTTTTTTTTGCTCCCTGTAGTGGGTATAATCTTATTTCCTTCATTCAAATCTGCGTGAAAGTCAAAGGTCTTGCACAGCTTGTTTGTGAGGTACAAAACTGTCTATAAAGGATGTACTGTACCTATAGATGACATCTCTGGCTATCACCATGTCATCAGCAGACTGGCACAGGTGAAGGAGAAGCTTCAGCTCATCTCTCAGTATCAGCTCATTCCTTCGTAGCTTCTCGCTGATTAGCTCAATACAATTTCCTGTAAAAATAAGGTAAAAACTTCAATCTTTGTGTATCACGTATAACGCATATGTGCATGTATGACATGAAACAATTTATTGCAGCTTAGTGCCAGTGAGAACAATTACTTCACCTTTCGATCCAGTGACGAGGTGAGCCACGGCCAGTTTCCTTTGCTGAAAGTCATGAAGTTTGATAACATCCTCTGACAACAGATGCCTCTTCGCTGCAAAGACAACAGTTATTCAGATGCCAGTAACCAAAAATGATTTTCATTATCAGGGGGTCTGACAATTACTATTATTCCCTGAATCCCAAGGTAACATGGTCCAATGTCAAACCCCCAATACGGACCATACCATCATAGAAAAGTAGGACAACAAGAAATTATTGACATTTAAAGTCTGTTTAAAGCGAGTTTTACCTCTAAAAACAGACAAATGATTGATCAATTATTAGACTTCAAGCCTATCAATTTTCTGTCAATTGACTGATGATTAATCAACTTATCATTTCAGCACTACAGTACTGATTGGTTTCTTATAACAGTTGTTCAAAATGTTCATCATACAGCTGTCGCAAACTCTGCAAATAAAAACCCAGGTAAACCTAGTTTTGGGTGATTTTGATGAGAGGTCAACACACCTGTATGCACTGTTAAAGCAATTTGCAGCCAGGTAACTATTATTCCATTTTTATACTTTTAATGTAACGTTAAAATACCTTTGTACGCATGTGTGTTCATTACAAGCTGCTAATGTAGCTTCTCTCTGCCTGTGAAACCAGCCAGTTTTAGCGGACCCCTGTGTTTCAGACAGGACACATGTGAAGGAGTTTTGTTCGTCTTACCTCCTGTACAGCTTTCAATCCATCCTGGCTGTAAAACACCTAAAAATACTCCTTTACATGGATAATAGGGTAATGACCGACAACATTTACCAAATCTGCCCAGCGCCATAGTGTCCACTGACTGTACCATCGCAATGAAAACAAAGGGGATGCTTTTGAACATATTGTACAGGTTTAAAACACAAATTGCCTCCCAGAATAATCAATCACATTTTAAAATGTACTTTCACCATATAACTATTTCAATTAGAGCAGGACTGTCTATATAGCTGTTTATTTTGAAATTTGTGATACGCAGTTTGTAAATGGTATAATCCAACATGGCAGCGACTAGTAATCCGGTACAGTAGTACAACTCGTTTTAATTCTACATCTTTATCGTCATTTGTTTCCACTCAGTTACACGAAGCTGTGCTGATTTATGTGAATCATGTTTTCTTAGACTTCGTGATAAGCATTTTAGTTTATTTCGGACTGTCACGGAACTACAAAGTTGTTTCTCTTTTAGCCTGCCGGTGGTGCTGTTGCACTGTGCTTTAAACATGGCTGGTGTGTTGTTTTTCACTCAGTTTTGTGAAGGAGAACGACGAAGAAACTGAGAGGAGGCCCTCAGTAATACGGTTGTTATGAATGTGAAGGAGGCGGCAGGTTCAGTATACACACTCGCTACGTATAATGTTCTTGATTATTCAAATACTCATTTGTTAATAAAATCTCACAAAACTGTTAAAAGTACCCATAATTTCTCATGTATTACATTTTCGTGGTTTATCCAACCAATTGTTAAAAAGTAGAAGATATTCAGTTAAATAGGTAATAAGAAAAGCATCAAATCCTCACATTTGAGAAACAGCAAAAGTTTGGTGTTTTTGTTTTAAAAATGGCTGAAACTATTCTACTTGATTACCAGAGTATTTGTTGTTAATTCGACTAATTGTTCAGTTGACTAATTGTTTCAACTCTGTTACTGTTTTTTTGTTGTTGTTTTTTTTTTAACAGATGTGATTTTGTTTACAAATAATAATAAACCCTGCCACTAGTTTGTGTACCCACTGACCTACACAGCATTACATAACCAAGGACTTATATCCTTAGAAAAGAGTGCTGCTGCATTTCCTCTGTGAGGGTCATGGACTTGAAATTCCACTTTATATTAAAAACATTTTTATATGAATGTAAATGCACTTAATGTTTTGTTTTACTGTGTTACAATTTTGATAGAAAAAAAACTAATGTCTTCATCATTAATACAATTTATGAACACAAATGTACAGTGTGCATGTGTCAAGTTCATCATCAAATATTCTTCGCACAGGATTTAATAGTAAGATGCAAGTTACCACTACAGACTGTGTAGGTAAGTTGTAAAAAATTCATTGCAATGATTAAGATGCTTCTTAAATGAACTCCTAAGATAGACTATCTTGCAGAAAGAAAATAGGGCTGGGACAGGGAGGATCCCCCACTGTTGCCTTGGCAACAAGATCTCAGCCCATCCAGCTGAGATTGCTTGCTCAGCCAATCAGACACGGGGCCTTGGATAATTTATGGTATCCTGCAAGGTATATGTGTCTCTGAGGGTTTCTCTCTCTCTCTCTCTCTTTCTCTCTCTCTCTCTCTCTCTCTCTCTCGCTATCTCTGCATATGTATGCTTGCATGAATTTAGAAACAGTTTTTCTCATACATATTGCGCATCTATAGCTACAGGTTGAGAGTTTAGTGTGGTGGCAGCTTGCATAAGGTTGCTAAGATAATTCAATACCATTTGTAGGTGGTCTATTTTAGCACTCATACCCAATTTCCCTTGACAAACAGCCAGGTTCTGCCGACAGATAGTAGCTCTTACATCTTCTTTGATTTATCCCTGCATGCCCTTCCTTTTAGTTTTGGAAAGTGCCTGGGGTGTCCCATCATCATTAATAAATGTTCCTGCTGAAACAGTTTTGGCACAGAAAAAAAAAACTGCTGGTACTGATTACAGTGTCAGCCTGTATGCCACAGTTATAAAGGCACTGTCCTTGAAAGACAATTAAATAGGTTGGCTTCCATCTTTTGAAAGACTTATGATGTACATTTATATGCATGCCTATTCACTGATTTCCTACTAAATCATAAATAAAACGCCTGCAGCTGCATGTTGGGTTTGGATAAATAGTAGGGATGCTCTCTTATTTGCATAACTTGTGAATAATAATGTAATACTATATGGAAGAAAATATAAAAGCTTTCGTCTTACTAATACTACTATATTCGCTGCAACGGCTCTCAGAGTCTAGTTCACCAGCTGAGTGTTCACTTGCTGAGAGGCATTAAATGTGTGGACTCGTGGCCCCCCACTGTACAACAAAAGGATGCTGAAACGTGGAGACATGTCCTCTTATCCTACTCTGCTCTGTTCATTCTCAGTCCGTGTCCCTGGGGCGTCTGATCTGAGGCACCCGTCAGTTGACTGCATACTGGAGGAACTAAATATGCTCGAAATTATTATTTTTCTGACATCCTTTTGACATGTTTCATATTCTAGATCTCCTTATATATTTTTTAGATCTTTCAATTTGTTATGAGATGTATATATTTTATTCATTTTGTATTTTTTCATTGCTTTTCCTTTGAATTAGAAGTAATCATAGTAGCTCAGCACTGCTGCTTTACAGCATGGTCCTGGGCTCAAGCTCGTGCTGACTGCAGCCGGTTTATGTACTATGCTATTGCAGGTGTTTCCTCCTGGTACCCACAACAAAGGATATGCGTGTTCAGCGTTATTATAATATTCGTATTAATGAGTTGTTCCACAGGCGATGGGTTGTGGCCGCCCACCACTTTTAAATAGCTGGGATGCAATGCAGAGGACAAATTATTCAAGAAACTTAGTTAAACTGCACTGTACCATTTTACTACCATTGTAGTTAGATTTTTCAGTACTTTTCATCGTCTCTGTCCACACCATGTCTTTATGTGGAAACATAAATTCCCTGTCTATCCTGTCTGGCTCTCAGGGACACACGTAAAAAAAAAACGACTTCCTTCCTTGGCCACATTATCACTTACTGCCAATCATCTGTGAGCATATGACATTAACTTGGCAGCCACTCTCTATCATTATACTAGAGGATTTTATTTGTACCCAGTTTGGGATGTCTGTCTGTAATTAGCACACACAGGCTATATAATGTTTGTACTGTGTATAGTATAGTTCACAATAATACTGACAACGGATAGATGAGACAAGAAGAGAAACGTTGAGTCTATTAAACGCTGCCAGTGTGGAGCTATAGATGGCAATGTCAGTAAGGTCAGTTAGTCAAACAATTAAGTCCAGACTGAAACATCTCTATCTCGCTATCTGTTAGCTTGTAAAAATAATGGTATTTTATTCAATATGACTATGTCTAAATATAACCTTGTGAGAATTAGCACACTGCCTTTATAATATAGTATATAATAACACAACTTGGCTCTATAAATAGTTAAAAAAAGACAGACACAAATCCTTATTTTTCACAACAGATTTTATTGTGGTTGTTTTTGAATGTTTGTTCTTAAGTAGTAGTTCCTCTTACTTCAGATTCGCCATATGGATAGAGGAAATATTGCACACAAACATCAGAAAGCACTAAGGAATACTCACTTGAAACTAATTGCTATAGGTTATATATGAGTTTGGGAAAAGGGGCGGAGAGGATGCATGATCACAAGACAAATATACCACACAACTGCAGACAAACATTATTAAAGTCCTCCCAAGAGAAAGATGAGGAGAAAAAGGCAGAGATAACTAGACAGAGAGAGAGAGAATAGAGGGAGTGTAGAGAAAGAAGACAGAGAAAAGAGAAATGTCAGGTCAAGAGAAATGTCAGTTCAGAATTTGTAGGTTTGCTGTTGCTTGACAGTATGGTCATGTTGTTGGTTTGAGGTTCCCCTGCAGGAGAAGTGGTGTATAGTGGTATCATGAACACCTGACATAATTTCAGAAACATCTGGTGAGTTTGGTGAGTTGATTTTATAACCCAAAGTAGCAAAGTCTGTAATCATCGTGCGTCGATTTGTTAAATATTTCTTCAGAGGCTGGCCCGTCAAAGATAGTCTATGGCCTCTGTACTGTTAGTTTGGTATGTGTCATGTTTGTGTTTAAAGTGTCTAGTTTTTGTTTTACATACTTTCATCTAAAACACACGAGTCACTCTCACTCTCATCTCTGTGTGCTGCCCCTCTCAAGGCTTTGCCTCTCATGGAAGCTGCTTCCTTTTCATCCTGGCTAACGAGGAGAAACTCTTAATGTCACAAGAAGTTTTCATCCTCCCCTAAATGCTCACATCAACCTGAAAATCAGTTTTACAGTTAGACAGTGCCATAGGCAACTGCTTGACTTACTGTAATATACAATGTCATGGCACAACTTGCAGAAATCATAAAATGCTCCTCACATTTATTTATTTAGCTGATATAGCCCTGTTGTTACTAATGCAAGTCTGAGCAAAATCCCCATGAAAAGAAGAAGGAAAAAAATCCTAATATATCATAACTCATGCACGTCTTTCAACCATTCCATCGGCCACGAAGCTATTTATAATTATAGTACAATGCTTTAGAAAAACAAGACATTTTAAGGTTTATGAAAATATCCTGCTTCACCAGCTTTACATTGGGAAAAGGCTAGCTCCCCCCATAGCTCAATGATTACATAAAAAACAGGTAATAGAAATAAGATCTGATTTTCTCTTTCTTAAAGAACTTAAAATCTGTAAATAAAACAGAAATAAAAGGCAGGCCTCTAACAAGCAGTAACATTGTGGAAAATGATACGATTTTACAGATGTGACAAAGGCAAGGGGAGAGAGTTCTGAGGCAACTTTTTGTTGCACAGTGTAAAAGGCGATCTGGACAATCACGTTCAATAATTTAACATAATAAATTAATTTTCATACATCAGCAGCAACATAAACCAGACAAAAGAAGAAAAACACCCACTTTAAATCAAATAAAACCCAGCCGACTAAAAAACATATGAAACAGTTTCACAATGGTAGGGGCACTCTGTCTCGCCGGTGATGAATATGAAGTCAGACATCATATTAATGCTAATCAGTGTTGAGTATCCCTTCAAGTTCATTTATATTTACCATCATTCAACTATGTAACCATTTAACAGTCCTTTTATGGATTCCCTCCGGTGTGTAGAGTTTGCCTACTCTTCTGCTAGTTGCACCAGTTCTTATACATTCATTTTGACTCCCTAAGGCAATAACAGAAAACATATTGTTTATCCTTTGGTGTGGATAACAGCCATTGCTTAAGAATATACCATAGGCAGGGATATTTCATTCCACAACATCATTACTTGAGCTGTGCTAGAGTTGGTATAGTTGGACAATCATGGCTAGGCTGGTTTCTAATTTCCTCCTACTACAATTCATTTATGCCTAAAAATCAGATAACACCATAAGGATGTCAATGATGTATCTACTTTATAAAGAATACATTGTCCTTCTGTTAGTGTCAGTCCTCATTGCAGATATTCATTATTTAGGGTTTAGTATCATTATAGTATGTAAGTGTTTAAGTGTCTGCTTAGGTTTTATGCTACATGGATTTGTTTTCCTCTACAAATAATGATCCATCTCATTATCAGTCACTAGGCCTCCAGATTCACAGATCTCTTGCAGAACTGGCCTACATCTCTATCTTACAAGCCGGGAAAGACTCGTCCTGCATGACGACAGTGCTGCTGCTGGCTAGGACCATGATGTTCAGCTCCTGCTGCTTGTCGTGGGTCTCCTGGTACCACTCCCTCATCACATCAGTGTCATGGGTTGGAATCAGAGTGACCTGACATTAAAGAGGAGGGAGGTTTTCTGAACTCAAGCACTCAACCAAAAATGATCTTTCTGCTTCTTTTTCCCTTATACATCACGATCAGGTTACGTCGCATATAATGTTAAATCACATCACATTAAATGGCAGTGGCATCTTGAATATAAATAAATGAACATGACCTTTTTAGCTGTGAAGATTTGACTGATAAATGACATTATGTGTTTGATGTTTGCATGCAGGGCTTGGTAGTAGGCCTATTACTTGCAGGGTTTTAACAGAAATTGAAGCACTGAAAGTTATTTATGAAGGTCTGTTAGATTGATAATAGTAACATAATTTGAGGCTGGTATGAGGTATGTAGATATAACTAATTAATCTATTGAATATAACCTTTATACCTCCAAACCCTTTTGGCCACCTGCAAATTAAGATATTAATTTATAATATAATTAAAGCATTAACAAAAAGGACTAAAAATCTCAAAATTAAGCTTAAAATTGTCACTTCACTTTCTTCATGTTAAGCAAAACAAAAAACCCTGGTGGCCAAAGATCCAAATGCATATGGAGCTCTGTGTACATTTACAGTGTCACATTATTTCATGTTGTATAGCTGCAATATTAATGCTCAAAACATACCTGCATATTGTTTCCCCACTGGGCCTTTCCTTCCAGCAGAGCATCAAGGACAACCCTACTGGGCTCCTGAGCTGTCTGATCATTGCCACTGACCACATAGTAGGAGGAGCGCACCCGCTTAAAGAACTCAGCATCCACATTCTTGGCACTGCAGTGATTGGGGATGTAAACCAAATCCATGTACATGGGAGGACAGTTGGGCAGAGATGCCCCACCTGATGCCTTTCCACTGCCAGTACCTGAAAGAGGCAAAAATATACCTTTTTTCAGAGAAGTTCACAAAAATGTATAGAGTAATAAAATTATATATATGTGATGACAATGAGTACATTGTACTTACCTGATGTGGCACTTTTCACACCTCTGGACGCTGTTGTATTTGTCGCATTTTTGGCATCTTTCCCCTCTCCAACACTCTTCTTTGGAGAGGCAGTCTTTGTGTCCTTGACTTTTGATAGACCTGTCTTCCTGGCTGGTGATGATGACTTTTTGGAGAGTTTTTTCTTCTTGGCCTTTTCTCCTCCATCTGTGTTAGCATTGTGGAGGTTTTCTTCAGCCTTGAGGGCCTCTGGGTCCACCATGCAGACATCGTGGTGGCCTGAGGAGGGAGCAGAGTCCCTGAAAGCCACTGGAGGAGGATCTGGATGCCTGTAGGTCAGGGTTCTGTCAGTGGGCAAGGTCTCAGAGTCGTCCTCAGAGTCAATGTTAGCATCTGCTGTAATGGAGGGGCACTCCTCTGTTCCTGGTGGAACATCTGAATCTGTCTGCGAGGGGGCAGATTCACTGATGGATGTGGGTGGGGTCTCCTCACATTGCTTGGTGGGAAGCTTACCTCCTGGAGGTGGGGGTCCTCCTCCTGACTTGGCCAGAGGTTTCTCTTCACCCAAGGCATTCTCTTCATTAATGAAGTACTCTAGAGGGTTAGGGTTGATGAAAGATGGCGAAAGTTCTGTCTTGGGATGACGGTACTCACATGAAGTGACTAAGCAGAGGTCAACATCTGTCTTAGATGGAGCAGAGGGGCTCCTCTTTGTTGATTCTGGGTCCCTGGAGCCACAGGCAGAATTGCAATTATACAGATCAGAGGAGAGAGGTAGATATGATGGGGAGGGAATTTTGGGGCTCACAGGGGATTTTGCCTCTAATGTAGAATCCACACATTTAAAGGGATTAGTCTCCTTTGGTGGGGAAGGTTTCTCCTCTTTTGTGAAGGCAAAAGAAGATGATGGGGAAGTAGCTTTGGGAGGTGAGGGTGACTTGTCGTATTTCTGCTGTGTGTCAAATTTATTAGAAATGCTCTCTGCAGATGGCGAAATTGGGCTGGTGCTGTCTTTACCCAGGGGACTTCCTAGCACTGGGGATGGCTCACTGGAATGTGGAGAGTGGGTGAGAGAGGATGCCTTGGGGGTGACTGGAGACTTTTCTGACTGCTCAGTCACATGTGGAATGTCTGTCATTTGGCATGGGGTCGTAACAGAGGGTGTGGACTGGGATGCATCTGATGGGGTTGCAGAAGTGGCACGGGCTGAATCAGTCTCTTCAAAAAGCAAAGGCTTCTCCACTGTGGATCCAGGCTCTCCAGATGGTCTTACATCTGTTCCGTCTGAGGGGCTGTAGTCAACCTCAGTTGGGCCATTCTCCGTAGCACGTGAGCTGCCTCCCACAGATGGGTGCTCTGGAGACTGCTTACTAAAGTCCAGGGCTAAGGAGTGGTCAGGGGACTCCTGGCCAAACTCTATTGACATGGTAGAGTGCTCTGGGGATTTTGTGTCCTGCATCTGTATTCTGCTTTTTGACTTTGGTGAGATGTCTGGGGAGATAGACATGGGCCTGGGGCTATCCTCCTTGGATGGGGATCCCTCGGCCTCATGGAAGGTGGTCGGGGTCTGAACCACAGAGACAGACAGCGAGTCATCCACTTCAGTTGAGTGAGGAGAGCCTACCTCAGCATGCAGGGAAGGAGAGTCAGTGGTTGGCTCTGGCAAAGAGCTGGTGGCCAGGGAGGCAGTGGATGCTGAAGCTAAATGTGAAAATGTGTCTTCTGCTACCACTTCCTCCAGAGGGGTTCCTGACTTGTCTGATGTGGTACCCTCTGAAATGGACATTTTACTCTCTTCTTTGAAAGCTGTGAAAGGATTGGTGTCTGATTCAAGTTTGGTCATTGGCGCTGACGACAAGACTGACTGGCTGTATTCTCCAGATTTCTTCTGATCTATATCAAAGGGGGACTTGGGGACTGTTGGGGAATCAGCTTCAGCTGGAGGTGGGCTTTTTGGAGGGGACATTACCCTGTCTACAGGGGAACTCCTTTCTTGTTGTGGCTCATCAGGCTCCGGGGTAACTCTGTTGGAGGAATCCTCTTTATCACTTGTGACCTCCACAATTATTGGACCCTCTTCTTTGTCTTCTGATGCAGGTGGTAGACTTGCTGCTTTTTCATCTACTGGTGACTGATAGTAAGGTGTGTGACCAGAGGACTGAGGGGAGTTAGCTCCTTCCAGTGTCTTGTCATCTGGGCTGATGGAAGAATCCGCTCTTTCTCTGGTGGACCCTGCCAGTGTGGTGGACAGTTCTATTGGAGCTGCAAAAATTGATGGAGAATCAAACATATCCTTGCGATCCACTGAGGGAGAACGAATAAGAGGTGACGTCGTGGAGGTTAACCTGAGTCTAGCTGAGTCTGCACTGTACTTCTCAGAAGACTCTTGAGCTGTGTCAAACCCTTCAGCTTTCCCTGAAGGTGGAAAGTCCTTACAGAATTTATCTTCTTCTAGTGATGAAGGTGGAGATATGGTGGAAGCGGAGTGGGTGTAGTCCTGGCCTTCTGTAGCTTCACTCTGCGAATGATCCGATACTGGCATATCCTGAAGTGGAGAAAGCTTCTTCCTATCATACTCCCCAGCCGCTGATGTCTCAAACCGGTCGCCATCTTGTGGAGGAGATTCAGTCTCATCATTGGTGATTTCGTCACTCATAATGTCCCTTGGAGTCAACATCTCATCCATGGGAGTAGGCACACTGGAGATCTCCATGGTGGACTGAGTGTAGCCAGAGGTGACAGTGTAATCTTCAGGGGCTTCATCTCGGTTCTCATCATCAGAGGCTGTGGAGGTCTCAAAGCCAACAGGAAGCATTTCATCATGGATAGATGCAGCTGGAGAAACAGGCGAGGACACTTTGGGTGAGGCTGACACAAACAGACTTTGTTTCTCTGTTTGCCTTTCACTTCTGAGCTGATCTTCTACATTTTTATTGGTTACATTGTCTATGACTTCAACTCTGTCCTCTGGTTTGATTTCATCATGTCTGTCTAGGTGTTCATCTTCACTTGGAGTAAGCTTGTCTTTATCTGATTCCATTCTCTGTGGTTCATAAACTTCCTCCGTCTCTCCCTTCTCTTCATAATCTCCTCCCTCTGATGCCTCCTCCATTACAGTACCCTCATCTTCAAACTTCTCAATTGCACTTCCATTGAGTTTTCCCTTAAGAACTTGTTCATCAGGGGTCATTCCACTGTCTCCTTCAGCCTCTGTTGTGGTTATACCCTCGTCCACTGACTCTAATGCCTCAGGTGACTCTTTGGTCTGCATTATTTCTTCACTGTGGATCATCACAGCCTCTTCCTGATTTTGTTGCACCGTCGCATCATCCTCCACCAACTCTTCAGCTTTGAGCTCCTCAAAGTCCTTAGTGAGATCCTCTGGTGAGGACATCAGAGCTCTTTCTGCTTCTGGATCATCTACAACAGCAGCAGCAACACTAGCTGCAAGTTTGCCACTATCCACCTTTGTTTCTTTCTTTGTAACCTTTGGCTTACCTTTCTCTTTTAATTTTGATGGTGTTCCTGCATCTTTCTTTGAGGCATCGTCTTTTTTCAGGGGCTTTGGTTTTGGTGCTAGACTCCTTTCTTCAGTGGCCTTTTTTATGTCTTTAGAGGGCTTTTTGACATCTCTCTTTAGCTCTTTCTTATCTTCCTTCTTCTCCTTCATGGGTGAGTCTCTTCTGATGTCCCTTTTTATAACTTTCTTTGGCTCCTCTTTCTTTACTTTTTCATCTTTTTTACTTTCTTGTTTGTGTATGTCATCTTTCTTTGTTACCTCTTTCTTAATCTCCCTTTTCTTTTCCAAAGACATTTTGGTCTCCTTCTTCATAATCCTTTCCTTTTCAGCTTTGGGCTTTATTTCAGACTTCTTTTTCTCTGGAGTTTCAGTTTGCTCTGACTTTGCTTTCGACTCTTTCTCAGGTGCCTTTGCCTTTTTCAGCAGGACCTTTTCTTTTTTCTCTGTCTTTTGTGTTTTTTCATGAGTGGATTCTGCATCTGTCTTTGCCTTTTCTGGAGCTTCCTCCTTTGATTCCTTCCTTATGCTCTTGCTTGGTGATGGCTTTGGGGTAGACTTTAGACTCTCTCTGCTGTCTGTTCTGTGTTTCATCTTAGCTTGCTTTAGTGTTGGTGTTGATGGCATATTAGAAGACAGTGCTTTTTGAGTGACAACTGGCAGCTTCAAGAAGTCCAAGTGCTTTAGTTTTTCTAAACCTTCAAAGATGTGATGCTGGGTTGCATTTCCTGGAAAGAGAACGCGCACAACCTTATCAGAGGGATTTGCAGGATGCCACACAATGAGCGAAGAGATAGAAGTCAGGTAAGATACAGGGAACTCAGATTCTTTTCCATTTGGCAGCAGAATGGATGTGGTGTCTTTTTCACTACCTGTCCACTGCTTCATAAAGTGCTGCATCTCTTTGCTATTCTTTGATGGATTGAGCACATACATCTCAAGCTTCCCGACGCCCATTTTCTGAAAAAGTATGATCGGTTCTATTGTGTTTCCCACGGGCCTTTGCAAAGGCTCCATCCTCAGATTTAGTTTGGTGAGGAACTGCTGAGTGAACGCTGCTTCCTCAACATTCTTTCGCACCCTGTAATTAGGTTCAGGGTTATCCAGGTTTTCAGGAAGATTCACAAACACAACGCCAATATCTGGAGAAATCATGTTCTTCACCCAGTCACTGTTAGCCGTCGAACCCTGTGACTGTTCCTCCTCAAGCTCTGCGATCTTCCTCTGCAGCATGCTATTGATGCCTGGCAGGTTGTCGTCACCGATGTGGGTCAGGAGGATGGAGTCCACCCGGTCCAGATGCCTCACCAGCTTCCAGAAGCATGACCTCCTGTCCGAGCCGCCATTAATGAGCATGTTGAAGCCATTCACGGCAAAAAGAGCAGAGTCACCGCGACCACCAGGGAAAATATAACAGCACGGTTTGGAGAGTTTGAGGAATCCACCAGAGGTTGGTGGCTCTAACATGTCAAAAGGAGATGGGATCTCTACTGATTCAGATAAATACTCTGTGAACTCTGAGAGGCCCTCCATTTCAGGGAGTATGAGAGTTGAGTTTAGTTTCATGTTAATGAAGTCCTGCAGGTTGTGTTTGTCCAGGTTGGAGTTTTTCCAGTCGCCTTGTTCAGGGCAGAAGAGTGTAAGGTTGGCTTTATTTGCTGGGTGAATGGTGCTGAGCAATTCACCAATCTAGGCATGAGAAAAATGTAATGACTTTTAATTTTTAACATACTGGAATCAGTCAAATGAAATAAATAATGCTCTGCAATCACAGCTTCAGTATGTGTATATACTTATAAGTCTATTAAGTAAAACTAGAATGGTTGCTTTTTGGGAGAATCACTACCATGCATTTTTGAATTTATTTAAAATCGCTATAAAAAGGTACAAACCAAAATATAGAATATTTTCATCTATGATGTGAGACAGCTAAATTGCAAAATCTCAAGGCTTTTTTATTTTTTAATGACAAGAATATGTGCATCTTAACTTTGGAAAGACTAATATTACAACGTTATAGGTCAATCATGTACTTACAAAAATATTCCTCGTATTTGCTCACCTCTTGGTCGGTGAATATGTCTATGAAATTGAAGAACGAGAAGGATCCAGACTGAAGAATCAGCTCCCCAGTGTTTTCAGAGCATTGCCCTGAGAGAACCAGCAGCTTGTGCCTGGCAGTGTCTGAGATCATCAAACGAACCTAGAAATTTAAAGAGGAAAATAATATTGTTTTCTATGATAGCGTTAAGAGCAGATGGATGAAAAGTGAAAGAAATGATGATCCTTGGAAAAAAAAAAGAGACTAGTCATTTATTTACTGCAAGAGAAGAGAAGGAATACTATACAATAATATTATTACTGGCTATAGAGACAGGCAATACAAAGCCTTACTGCAGCAATCAGTTTAATGATTTAGTGTATTTGAAATATAACCAGTTTCATGTTACCCAAATCTATTAGCTAATTGGCTGACGTGTTCTCTTGCTGTCCTCTCTACTAAGTTTCCTGTCATCCCTCTATCTTCTGCCTCTCTGTCTCTCCATTGGTCTTTTTTTTTTCTACTTCAGCAACATCAGCTGTTCTGGGCGGCTGGCCAGGTCAATCCTGCTGTGCTGTGAGATATTATTAATGCACAGTTTGACTGCAGACATGGCCAGGGGGTGGAGGCAACACTGAAAAGGAGCGTTGACACTGGAGAAAATCTTGTGTCATCCGTGCTCCTGACCCCCCTATTTCTGTCATCCCATCAAAATGTTCAAAAGCTTTACTGCAATAACAAAGGGTAAAAATCTGGCTGAGAAGGAGACATTAGTCTTTTCCCTTGAGGTTCTGATTGCTCCTATTTTTAAATTCCAACCAACAGCAACAAACTGCAGTGCATATTACCAGAGTGGATAATTGGCCACAAATGGTGGACAGTCAAGGCTGAATAATAGTCCTTTTCAAGCTGTAATTGTTTTATAAATACAATTTGTGAATCCATTTAATAGGAGAATAGAAGATGAAATACCAAGTTACACAAAGAATGAAGGTTATAACAAAATGATAGATCGTCAATTATAGCTCATTTTACCTCAGTACTGACTGCTTCATCTGAAGGGTTGATAAGTACCACCGTCTCCAGGACATTACTTTTATGGTGAAGAATTCTCTGCCCTGCAGAAAAAAATAGAAAATAGTTGCAAATTATTTAAAAAAAAAAAAAAAAAGATTGTAGTCACATAATTCTGTCATAACAAGGCAAAGTGTTGTATTTCATGTCTGTATCTTATATTGTTGATATGGTACTTCTCTCACAAGTTAATTACAAGAAATTAGAGCTGCTTCTTAGAGTTAAAAGGATTACTTGATTTATCGATTAGTTTATCAGCAGAAAATGAATCAACCACTATTTCAAGAATTTTTTAATATTTATGTTATTTTTCTCAACCAAATGCAAAAGTACCTCAATTACAGTTACTTAGTGTAAGGATTTGCTGCTTTACTTTATCTTATGGGACAGCAAATTGAATATTTTCAGGTTTTGGACAAAAAGACATTTAAGTTATCATCATCATCTTGGGGATCAGGGAAGTGTGAGGGGCAGTAATCAGTACTTTGTGAGATTTTATAGACTAAACACTCTAAAATAATCAACAGTTATACACGTAGTCCATATTAACTAGAGAAAATTTGTCAAAATGTGCTTGTAAACATAAAACCACAACAGGTCTCTCTCTGCAAACATGATGCATAGAGATGTAGAAGATTTGAGTCTTTTCTGGTCAGATAGGACAAACTGTTGTCCTTTATTTTGTATTGAAGTTCAACCACAAAAAGCACAGAGAAAATCAAAAATCATTATGCTGACTTTCAACAATTGTAAGCCTCCACTATAATGAAATTAAACACTGATTACACAAAGTCCTTTAAATAAATTTCTACTCCTCTGGCTCCTATGAGGGGCAGGACTCAACAAATTTATCAACTAATTTATCAAACACAGACAATCTGGCAGTTCCAATATGGCTGTGTAAATGTTAATGGTCTCTGTAGAGTAGAGCTCTTTATCACTAAGATGGATGAAATCTCTAGAGATTTCTCCTTATACCCTGACTCCCGCTGCACTGCAGTAAAAGCTGTTTAGGATTAAATTCCTCCTCTATCATCCTTTGTTCTAAAACATCGTCTAGCAACTCCACGGCACCGGATTTGGGGTAATACGATTTTTTGTAGTGTAATCAAACAACAGCAATATGTTCAGAGCTTTTTTGCAAGAACAGCTGCCTGCTGATGAGAGCGGTGACAGTGAACCAAAACAGTAAAGTTGTGATCTGTGCAACCAGACAAATTCTAACCAATTATGTTACAAATAGTAAAAAATGTCTGACCAACAGTTCAAAACCTAAAAATATCTCATTTACTGTAAGAAAAACAGAACATTTTTCACAAGCTGGAAGGTGGGGGGGGGGTTCACAGTTTTGCTTAAAACTGAAATTATTTCAAAATTATTTTTTACAATTGTTGCAGATTCATTTTCAGATGATAAACTAATTAATCATTCGTTACCCCCTCTACTTGACTTCTCTGACTGAATTGCCATGAGATGACAAATAATACAGACCCAATATTTTTTCAGTTTCTGTATAATGTGGACTAAACATGGTTTAGTCTGTTGCTGAGTAACATTTTCCTTCATAACACAGAGGTGATACACAGAAAGCGAACAGTGAAGTGTGACAGGCTTATAATCAATCATTCCTGGCTTTGGATGATTGATTATGATAATGGCTTTGATCCCACAGTGTGTGTTTTTCCGTGTGTATTAGGGGGTTATCCTCTTGCCCAGCTGACCAGCCACACACAGGGTATCCCTGGCATCATTATTCACCCTAACACATCAGGCTTCACTCACTCAGCCCCAGGAGAAGAAACAAAGATGGATTGTGATCTTTGTTTCTTCGCCTTGTTATTTCATTTCTTTTTAAATACACAATCAATGAATTGTTCAGGAGACAACTGACAAAAGGCAGCTTTTATTTTGTTAATGTAGATCAATTTCCTCTGGTAAAAGCAAAATAAATGCTGACAATAAGACAAACAAGAATATGTTCCCGGTGATGTTGAGAGGGCAGTGAGGTGTTGGAATATAAGCTTCAAATTCAGAAACACACTATTGAAGGCAGAGTGTGCCTCGTCCCTAGAGACATGATACTGCAGCAGTTTTCTGGCTGCTGGGCCGACTCCTCCATACATATTTCATATAGCGGATTCTCATCATGGAGCACATATCCATTAACACTGCTACTTCCTCCCAAAGGGCTGTCACTCCATATGGAAAACTCTTTCATTCACTGTTAATAGTGAAGTTCCTTCCATACGATACACGACTATTAGTCTCTAATAATCTGGGGAATTCAGTGAAGGTAGAAATAATGACTCTGGGTTTAGTTATTTCCCAGGCACTTGCCAACCCTATAGCAGTTTCCATTTGCAATCCATTTGTTTTATGGAGTCAGTTGTCTGGAGGGAAAATATTCCTGGTGTGACTTTAATTTTGAGCTTTCATATCAATTCAATATCTTGACGGATACTTAAATGGCATCTGCAAGAGGGGAGTGTTTTTTTGTTGTCCCAAATACCTGCAGAACTAATGACATTCCCATAGGCCTCAGCTGTAAATTGTTTGTGCTAATTAGGAAATCTTAGTATGCTAACACACTGGTGAACATGGCAAACATATACTGTATCTGCTAAACATCAGCATGTTAACAATATAATTGTTAGCACGTTGCCAAAGAGCCACTAGCGTGGTTGTAGACTCTTGGTCTTATTCTAGACTGAAATGACAGTGTCATGATTGTTGAGCATTTTGATTTAAAGAAAAAAATACTGTAAAATGTAATTAAGGTGAACTTTTTCTGCATTGATGGTTGAAAGAGTCCAGAAGTGTTCTACCTGATAAAGTCATAAAACTGAATTATCAGCCCTTGGATTGATTTTTGATACATTTTCAATAGGTCTTCACAACAGCCTGCTCCCTTTGCATGTGCCCTTTATTAGTTGTAGTGTTTTAGCAGAAATTTGTGTCGGTCTAATACCAGCATCGTCAAAATCCCAGTTGACTCTGGGAGAAACCAGCCTCACTGAGCTTTGTTCTCAAGAGGCAGCAGTCTTAAACTGATGACCAGAGCTCCTGTGAGAACATGTGACTGAGGAAACAGTTTTCAGTGGTCTGTGAAATGAGACAACAATCAATCATGAACGTCTATTGTTCTTCCTGCTTGTGGCACTGTACACAAGCCATATTTGTAACTGCTAATGTAATAGAAAAGGATCTTGTTTTTCTTTGTGTCTTTCGGCGGGTAACGCCCTGCTTACTGGCCTTTATGTGATGAAACTGAAAATACAGCCCGGTCCTTACACATTAAGGTCTGTTGAAGCACAAAGAAGCCACCATCACCACCACCATCACCCTGACAAATTGCTGTGTGTCTAAGCTAACTTGTCAAAAAAGATGACAGATTGTGCACTGGAGCTTGCTTGACCCTGACAATTACCTTGATCGATATAAAAATCCTTAATGCCCAGTGCAGCTCTGTCTCAGTGGGATGCGAGGTAATGTGACATGCATCACTGAGCATTCTCCTTCTGGCTGAATAGAAAGTGCAAGACTGGTATAGGCTGTCTGCCACAGACTGAACCACACAGGGGAACATCAATGTGGTTGGCACCGCACCAAAAATAGATCAGTGGAACAACTAAATGCAGCACCTCCTTCCTTTTGCACGAAAGAAAATCCCTTACACATAAGGATTATAATTTTATCTCCTCAGGTGGATCCCCTTGTGTGTGTCAGCACCTTTCTCCTTCCTGTCATTTCCTTTTCCACCACAACAGAATAATTGACCCCGGTGACTTTCAGCAGCAAAGATGGGGGCCCCCTGAGCACAGTTTTCAATGTCAGTTGCTCACGTGTCCCCACACAACTGGATTAAAAAGCGAACTAGCATACGTGACATGTCTGGGCATGGAGCTGATGGCACTGGTGCTGCTATTAGGTCTGCTGACTCACAGAACAGTCAATCACCTGTGTCGTAGTATTGATGCCGATCAATAACATTTGGCTTTAAACTCCTTTTGAATGACAACACGATGGGCAATAATCACTACAGGATAATGTCTTCCTACAGTCTGTTTCTTTCTCAATTCCTTCAGCTATGAATACGAAGAGGAAATGCAGCTTGATTGATGCGTGACTGATCAATCAATCTGCTGATTTACAGTCATCGACATCATGTATTTGCGAAACATGTTGAGAATCAGGATGATCTTTATCTCTGACAAATGTATTCACAAAAGACAACACAATTCTTAATTACTATTGATCTTAAGCTGCAGTGTTGTCTCCAACAATCTCATAAGCGAGAGCCTTGAATGGTTTTGTGGTTCAGAAACCGCCTTTTAACTCTCCAGTTGCCTCTTAGGCTTCAGTGCTGTCAGCGCTGAATGTAAAGTGCTGGGAAATCTATGTGTAAGCAGACAGTGTGTCCCTGATGGACATATGATACATATGTCCATCAGGGACACACTGGGGGTCTCCTGTCTGGCCCCTTTTTTGCTCCCTTCTCCTCCTCCTCCTCCTCCTCCTCCTCACTGTGGGATCCAGGCTTCCTCTGCACTATCATAGTGTGATGGATGGGAAGTCATCTATCAAGCAGACAGATAATTGCATTCATCCACCTCCACCGCAGTACCACCCGCTGGTTTGTGTTTTCCTGTAAGCACTGAGCCCTAACCTCATCATACAAATATATTCTATTGAGCTAAAATTGAAATTATACCTCACATGAAGTCAGCAGATCAGCTAATCCACCACCTTTATCCTGGAAAACACTGTTATTGTTTGACTGACATTTTGTGTGAACAGTTTCACATTTTGGGAAATATGCTTTTTCTTAGTTAGATGAGAAGATTGATACCATACTTGCATAATCTTTCCAGCAAATATAAGGATACAGACAGCAGCTTGTTAGCTTAGCATAAAAGCTGAAAACAGAGGGACACAGCTAGCCTGGATCAAGCGTTAACAAAATCTACTTACCTCTCCACTAGGAGCAGTGAATTCCTGAAATTTCTGACAGGACTTTTATTACTACTTATAATTATTATTCCAGCCTATCACAACAACAACATATGATTTGTACACATTTGTACAAGTTCTTAGCTGCTTCATATTTAAGGTTCATAAATGAAAGCTGTATCAATCTTCTTATCTAACTCTTGGCAAAAAAGCAAATAATTGTTAATTTTGTGTTTCACATCGGATATATGGATAATTCAGCTTTTTTGATGTACAGTACAAAACCAATCCTGACTCAGTGCAAGGTAACTGTCCTTTGTGAACATCAAAGGCCGACACTGTCAAAGAAAATATTCTAGTTTTGCAGGAAGACCTCCATAAAGCCGTTCAAGTATTAAAAGTTCAAAAGACAATGAAAATCCTTCCCTTGAGAGGGAGATTCGGCAAAAGCCTGAGGCATGACTATAAGAGAAAATATGAGAGTTTTATTGTTATTCAGCATCGACTCTTAGGCTTCATTATTTCTGCATTTCTTTCTCTCCTCTATGTTGCAGCTTTTTTTTTAACACTCATCCATCTACGCCCTATTTTTTCCTCATAACCTGCTGTATGCTTTCCTCTGTCCTACCCCATCATCCTTGCTCCCTCCCTTGTTTGCTTTTCCCTCATCCTTTCTTTTCCCCTCACCCTCCCTGATCCCCTCACCCTCTCTGATCCCCTCACGCTCTCTGTTCCACGAGTCCTCTCTGTTCTCCTCCCTCCTTTATTTTCACGGACAGACACTTGCCACTGGGGATTCTACTCTGCTAATTACTCCCAAATCAACTGCGCATCTCGTACTGGGTTGCAAGGCAACAGCACACAGGAGGAAGAACGGGAGAGAATAATGGAGGATGGGAAATTGGCACAAACAAGGTGGGATGAAAGGGATTGGGGATTTGGAGTCCCTTTGAATGCTATCACAGATAAATCACAATGTTTTAACTCCCTCTAAAGAGTATTTCATGTCTGTAAGGCCAATTATGAGATTTTGATACAGGGATATTATTGGATTAAAATGAATTAGCTGATTTACTCTGCAGCAGCAAATGTCAGCTGCATCAATCTATTGTGAAGTATGAAGCCCTGCTGGTCATATCCAATATGGAGCAGAGCCAAGCAGAAGCTTTCACCGCTGCTGACTGTCAAGGCCATACTGCCCACTGACAGACCACATGTCCTGACACCCTGGATCTGTTCCCCCTTTATGGAGCCACTCCCTCACCTTGCAAACGATACAGGAATAAAAGCAGGAGCAACAAAATGCTGAGAGGGTGTATCGAGGGGTAAGTAATAAAACCCCTCTGCTTAGTAGACTGCAGGGAAGTTATAGCTGACGGTGAAATGACAGTGTGTACGCTGCTGAGAAGTGCAGCGGTGGAATGTAACTAAGTACATTTACTTGAGTAAAGTACAATTACCATTTGCTGCTACTTTATACTTCTACTCCACAACATTTTACTGACACTGGTTACTTTGCTAATTATTTTTCATATAAAACACACACAGCTTTTAAAATGACAATCACTACTCCCTCTTATCAAGTTACTTTAAAAGGGGCTATTTGTCACTTTTCTCTGCCGACAAACTCGGTTTCTTGCCGGGAGCAGGTGGTGGTGATTGTTGCTCGACAGGAGCTTGTGCCATTATTGCATTTACAAGAAAAGAGGCTATAATACGCCAGAAAGTGACGAGATGGGCTGGGGCTAGCTGGTTAGCGTGCTTAATACTTTCGGTGGTTATTAATACTGTACTTAAGTAAGATTTTGGATGCATGACTAGTATTTTTACACTGCTGCAGTTTTAATTTACTTACAGTAAGTAAATGATCTGCATACCTCTTCCATCACTGGGAAAGAGTGTTTCTCAGGTTCTGTTTCGGATGCAACTGAAGCTATTAGAAACTTATTTAGGCAATGTGTTTTATTTCCAGTTTACCTCTGACGTCTGCTGAGAAACGAGCTGAGTGTCTGGAGACAAACAGCTTGAGTTCCTGGTCCAGGTTGCAGTCAATAAGGTTGGTGTCCCATGAGCGGATCCCTGCAAGGTAAACAAACACACAAAAATCACCAAGAAAATTTTTAAGAAGGAAGAAAAAGGAAGGAAGACACCAGTGAAGAAAAGCATGTTAGCTCTGCTGTCTGGAAATGAATCAATACACACAGTAGACATTGCACAGAGAACCTGGCAACAGGTCTAACAAATGTGAAAAGTCTCATCCTCACCCACACATCAATTTCACTGATCCTTTACCTCCATGTATAGACTTGTTACTGGTTTGGCATGAGAAAAAAATCTATAATAGGAAATATCTATAGTGCTTTTTGTGTTTTGCCATGGGCTAGACGCACTGGTAGCCTCCACTGAGCTGAGTCATGGTGGCATCACCCTCTCTCCCTGATTACACAGACTGGAGGCCTAATGAAGGCTTCTGCGAAGTTAGGTGATGACATCAAGTGGGAACAGAGAGAAAACAACTCTAAACAGAGAATTAAGTGTTTTTCTCTGAGGTAAACTGCACATGAAAGGTGGTTTTATTTCACACAACTCAACAGGGTATTGCTATAGTTGGTCTAAACATGAAACAAAGGGTGTGGCACTAATGACTTATTAACAGTGGTGACAATGATAAAATGTTGTTTTCTTTGTCCAATCAATAAGCCACTGAAGGAATGACAATTGTGTCACATGCATAATAACACATCATAATACAAAACAGATTTGATGAACAAAAATAGAAAATCAAAACAAAATTTGTATACAATATAGAACACGCTTTCATTCCCAACTTTCAAGCCATGAACAGAACAGCCACTAAATGGACCTTGTGGTGAGACTAGAATAAACTTTGAACCTCAGCATTAGACTCAGTTATAGGGCCCACACAATAACCACAATGTTAATTAAATAAGAAAATAAAGTGGACTGTGGCTCTAACAGGTTGCCTCTGACTCTAGATAGTAGATGATTCTAAAATGAAGTGATACACAAAAATAAACAATATGTCTGTCGTCTACAGAAGCATTTTTAACCTTTAACAAAGTGTCACACATTATCCAAGCTTGTTTTTATGAGTGTAGCAAAATTAAGCTTTATTCCTTCTGCCTACATTTAAAAACACTCATTTGATTTTCCACCCACTCTGTCTCTGCGCCATATTCTCCTCCCCCCTTTTTTCTCTCTCTCTCTCTCTAACACACACACACACACACACACACACACACACACACACACACACACACACACACACACACACAAACAGAGCATCCAGGCCAGGGAGGCAGGCCACTACAGCAGCTGTAGCATTTCTAAAAACGCCCTGCTCACTTTGAAAATCGGTCCTTGTGGCTTTCCGTAGGGACCGCAGTGCGGACCGAGCCACGCCCACCAGCCGGTGTAGGATGAGAGAGCTGGATGCAGGATGATGATGATGATGATGGAGACGTGTTCCCACGGGATGGACGGGGGCTTTATCTGTTATTGTTTCGTTATCATGATCATTACAATCTCAAACACCGAGCGCGTATTTGTTCCGCCTTGTAATTGGTAACTAAATTTCTCCCACGACAACACAAACAGTGAGAAACCTATAACCTTATTGTCTCTTCGTGGCCGTGAATGAATGCGTGGGACCCTCCGTTCTCCTGAAACAAAAGCCTGACGCACCTGAATAAAGCCTGGCAGAGGTGCTGCGGGAGAAAAACGCAGCTGCACTGGAGCCAAAGAAATGCGATATGATGCATTGTTGACGCATAGTCCGAAATCAATGCTGAATCATTGTTGTCAGCTTTATTAGAGGACCTGGAACACGTGTCTGTGTGTGTGTGTGTGTGTGGACGACAACAATTTGGCCTAGTTGTATTAATACTACAGAAAAAAAACAATCATAATGAGCTTAACTGCTCCTAAAGGAAGTGGGTGGGTGACAGGGAAGGCACCTGTGGGTGAAAAGATGTGTGACTATTTAGCGACAGCTGATGGTCATGTTACTGGGAGGGGCTGTTCAACAGTCCTATAATGAACAACATCTCTTCTAATTATGATAGTTAGCCAATAAAAAAGGTTCATAAATTGTTAATTACTCATTAATATGCGTAAATCTGCGTAATCGTAATCATGCGCAAAGTTGAGCAGACAAACAGGTGCATCAACAGCCTGCATTGGCTTGTAAAGCTATGCAACGAACTTCTAAGATATACATCTGTTCAAGTTGTTACGAAGATGTTAAGTTCAGTTCTCGGTGGCCTACACTCACACCCCAACCCCCCCTCCTAAAGCTCCATCTTACCTTTCTCTATGTCCGCAATGGCACACTTCAGGTGATCCTCCGTAATGATCTCCCCGATAACCACCAGCAGGTAAAATTTGCTGTCGTTGAAGTGCTGCGCGGGGCTGGAGGATGTCGGAGATGCCCCGGTGTTGCTTTGGCCGCCTAAAGTCTCCATTTCCGCAGATTCTACGAGGGTGGCCATCCTCTCCTCTCGGTCTCTCTCTGTCTCTCTCCCTGTGTACAGCAGGCAGGATCCCAACAGCAGCCTCCTCCCTTTATTCGTTGCAGAGCTCCGGAGTGGTCTCCAGACATACAAGTGGAGCCTCGATAGGAGTGGCCCTAGCTTTTTATATCAGCAGACATTGTGTCATATTCAGTAACCGGGGAGAGAAGAGGGCGCCGGGGTGTTTTTTTTTTTTTCGCAAACTCACTCCGCAGCTGATGTCATCCGCAACGAATCAAACGCCTCCGGAAGTCACTGAGATTTGATGCTTTGTACTGTAGCTACATATTCATCAGTTACTTGTTACAAATACAAATGAGTCGTTGTGCTATAGTCAGACAGCAACAGCTTTTATGTGGTGAAGATACTGCTCATTCACAACTAATTGCTGCTGTACAAGCTGTTTTTAAAAACTACTTCACCCACTTCAAAAATCTTGTCTTGATTTAAAAAGCTTAATTCTTCATTCTGTGTTAAAGATATTAAGTGGGCTGCAGCTGAGTGGGATATGTTAATGGAAAGCTTCGTAATTGGATTTTAATGCAGGTTACTCAGTTTCTCATTTTCATCTCAAAGACTGAAACAGAAACTCAAGGCTTGGGGCTCTGAACAGGATTTAAGGAGTAAAGCAGATGAGAGACAGTTAATTTAGTTTAAGCATGACTTTTGTGGATTAATTTTGCATGTGAAACCAGTGAATAGTAACTTATTTTTTTGTATTTACATTCACATATACTTCAACCAAGGTTGTAGGTTTGGTCTCAACATTGGTTCGGATTCAACAACCCCCGCCAACGTTTCAAAACAAAGAGGACTTTTTAATGCTGTCAACAAAACGGTTTATTAACATATAAGATCTGAATTTACATTCAGAAATGTATTTATATATAAATAAAACTATGCAGTATCAAATCAAAGACTGAAACTTTAGGAAATTATCATGTTATAATAACTTACAAATTAACATCAGAATAGGTGAACTTTGGTTACGTTAAATGTAAGTTACAGAATTTAGCCTACAATTAATTCATAATAGTGTATTTTTAATCACACTATCATTTTAAAACCTCACCTAAAACCCTAAAGATGCATCTGTTTCCTCACCAGCCTCCTCTCCCTCTCTGGTTTGCTGCTGTTCACAAAATAATTTCCTCAAAAATGATCATACAGTTGAACAACAACTGTCTAAAACAATTTTAATAAAAAACTGAACATTATAAACTTCATGAAGGATGACTTACTGCAGGACTGTAACATCAGTTTTAGCTGGATGTTTCTAATAAATTGCCAACTGAGTGTATATTAGTAATTATCAGTTGTATGCACAGACTGCAAAGTGCCTGACTGGAATGAATTGTCTGTGAACTGATTCACCTTGCATCCTAAAGATGCTCTTTAATTTAATAATATAATACATATATTATTATTATCATCATAAGTTTTACCTCTCCCCTTAAAATGTAACACAGTAACAGGTTTACATTGACATTTTAACTGACTTAGGCTACTTTGTACTTTTATCTTTGAACATTTGTACACAGGAATTTTACTTCAACTGTAGTAAAATGTCTTTTCATCAACAGTAGTTAGTGACCTTTGACGTGCTGCAGTCAGTGTGTCATCTCCACTCTCTGGAGTTTCTGTTAATGGTAGCGTTTATTGCTGCTCTGTCTGAACACAGTTAATGTTGTCGTTTTCTTCATCACAGTGACTAACTACCTGCTGTACATTTAAACTCACACCAGTTCAGCTCCAGCTCTCACAGCTCTCTGCTCCTTTTGGCGATTTTCACTAATTCAGTAGTTGTTTACATCCTATTCACATGCTAGTTATTTTTAGCTTAGCAGTTAGCGATAGCTTCTCTCTCTCTCTTGCTCGGTGTGTCTTGGATCAACGGATTAACTAGTTCATCAGAGTGTGGTGTTGTTGTAACTTCAGTGAAGAGGATTGTGAAGTTTATTACATCTTCACTGATGTCTGCTTTCTTACCTTCGACAAACTGCTCTGCTCGTTAACCGCAGCTGCTCTAGTCTATGGTCGTCTGTGTACATAGCAGCCTTCAGCGTGATAGGCTATATCTCGTGACGTATAACCAATCAGATGGTGCAGTGGGCGGGGCATTGCTCCAGATCACAGAGTGGAAACAGCAAATTAGACAGAGACGGCTGCATCAGAGCTAAAGCGCAATCTAAAATTAATTTATTTTATCTGTTATCGGTTTAAAAAAAATAACGATATCGTTGCTAAAAGAGGTGGGTGTAGGCAGGGTCTCATGATAGATGCTATTAAGTTGCATTAGGAAATTGAGACTATCCCCTGTAGTAAAGGAGCCCATAGGCCACCTGTACAAGCAGCTCATTGACTTACAGTTACGTTTCATTGTTAGGCGAATTGTAGTTGCTGTAGTAATTATGACGGGAGCAAAGGAGGAAGTTCAGCAAATACATGATATTCACACAGGAAACTGATAGTCATTATTGTCTCTTTTATCCGTGATCAGTCAACAACCTTAACTTTATTATTGTAACCATGACAAAGTACTTATCGTAACCCAAACTATCAAACATTCAATCTTCAGTTGTTTTTGTGCCTGCACCCAACCAAACCATGACTGTCCCATAAGCTTAACCATGTTTCTTATTGTAATCATGACAATGACTTGCAGCCATATATTATATGTCCATGTTAGGGAATGACTACGGCTGAACTTGAACCGAAGATGTATAGTTCATTGTCAACCCCTTAAACCCATAGGCCCACAAATAAAGCTTTATTTAATCTAATCTAATTTCATTTATTTTTAGTTTAAGAGGAATTCAGAACATTGCAACAGTAAATCTTGTGAACTTTGTCATCCTCAGTTTTCCTGTAGTCATACCTCTGTCAAGTGTCATACGCTCACACAGAAAATGGTCCCAAGCATAGTCCCCACATGATGTTTCTGGCTTTCATTTACCCACAAGTGCATTAAGTGTTTGGCTTTTAACATTACCAGTGTCATTCACAAATAGAAATAATGGACGTAAATATGAATGTCTGATCACAGTATCCATCTTTGATCCGACTCAGGTTGGTCTCTCACAGTCTAAAAGGGACATTTGAGAGATTCATTAAAAAAAAAACCCTCTTTGATTGTGAAAAAGCCTCCATCAAACAAGAAGCAATTTTTTATATGAAATAAATAACAGATAAGAGGAGTCGGGTGGTGGTGGGGGTGGGGTAGTTAAGGATGGGCAACTACAAATGAATAGGAAATGAAAAGAACACAGATCACAGGATTGCAGCCTGTCATATTTTTATTACAAAGAAAATAGAGTGTGTTTAGTATGTGTAGATGTTAAATATAGTTGGCAGTGAATATTTAGCCATTCTTTCTTATGATATGAATATTAAAGTGACTGGGGTTTGAGTTTCAGTCTGCTTGTTCATCCTTTCATTCATTCAGTCCAGTTGTTTCTAATGTTTTGATTCTGCTGTCATATCAGACTCTGCAACTTCCGCCTTGCCTCAGCCCAACCCTTTGGACTTTGTCTACTTAAATTTTTGTTGTTTTATTATCTAAGTAAAACTTTTGCATCTGCCTCCTGTGACAAAAAAGATAGGACAAAAGGAGAATAGGAAAATAATCTAGCAGCTGAAACTTTTCCCTGAGTGAAAGCAGACAGACTTGAGAGCTGTGTCCAACTGCTGCAAGAACAACCTTGACAGAGACAGAACAAGATTCATAGATACAAAAGGACATGTGCATGCGCGCACGCGCACACACACACACACAATCCTGACTTTAGTGCTGGAGTTCCCTCTGGCAAGCCTCATTGATGTGATTCACTCTCATGGATGGGGTCACTGCAGGTGGGTTATTAACTTAAAAAGGCTATCAGGAACAGGAGTCCACTCAGCAGCTCCTCGATGTGAATATTTCAGGGCCTTTGTGGCCTGGTGGGCTGGGCTCGGTCATATTCTCCTAAGGCCATGGGAGGTCGTATCAAACATTCATCATACACAGCTGGGAAAGAAGGAAGACATTAAAAATACAACAGGCTGCAACCAAAAGTCTCCGAGACACAGAGAAGGATGAGATGGACATGTATGTGTCTGTGTGTGTGTGTGTGTGTGTGTGTGTGTGTGTGTGTGTGTGTGTGTGTGTGTGTGTGTGTTTTATTTTTGAGGATTGATGGATAGGACTGCAAGGATTTTGTTTGGACACATATGTGTCTGTGTGTGTGTGTAGACAGGCAGTTCAAAAATGAACATGGAAGGATTTTAATAATTCAAAAACCTTAAACCCTTCTGGGTTTTACAAAACATCAAATCCTGTGATGCCTCAGGTCACTTATAAAAAAACAACAAAGAATTGACACACTGTATAATGCACTGACTGAGACTGGAAACCAAAGGGATTTATTTGAAACAAAGGGGAAAGAAATGTAAATATACAAATACAGACAACAGTATTCTTTTAGACAAAATGATGTGAACACTTACCAAAGTGTGTTGTTATATTGCAGTAGATTTTTCTACTGCTTTCTGTGGCGTTTACTCCTTTCATAGCATTGAAACCCACACTCATCAAAGTGATCAATGATTTACTGCTTCCTGATGACCCTGGTTATTGTTCTGTTTTGATGCTGCTTGATTTGAGTTCAACGTTTGACAGTGAATTTAAATCAACAGTTTAATAAAGTGGGTTTGCATTGATTGGCTTGATTGGTTTTGCTTCTACCTTTTATGACAGAGGTTCACGTCTGTCTGCCTCACCTGTGGTGTCCCCCAAGGGTCAATTTTAGGTCCTCTTCAATTTTCAGTAATTTCATAAACATAGCATTCATTTTCGTGTCAATGCTGATTATACACAACTCTCAAATATGGTGGCACTGCAAATCTGTCTTCAAGCCTGGATTCATACTTCTGCATTAAGGGGTTGCATTGTACATGTGGCGGCTACATGCATAAACCCAGGAGGTGAGCATTTGTTGACA